CGACCAGAATCAATATATTAAAACAAATTTAAATCCAATTAAAGCAAAATCAAAATTGAAATGGTATAAAAGCGCACCGACAGTACAATCCAAGCAAAGATTTGAGTGAAGGATCGGAGAGAATGCTTTTTTCCCTACGAAAATTACAGTTATAGGATAACTTTTACAATTCTTCAGTGCATTAAAACTCAAAGTCATAGAAATGTCATTTATAACAAAAATGAAGTGAACTGATTTGATATTCAAAACTTTTTTCTTAATATTGTTAGTTGATCCTTTTTATATTCAGTACAACAGACCTCTAATTAAAAGTTTCACCACGACATATACAAGGATGGCCTGCAAACGGCCTGCAAACAGTATCCATGACATCTCTTTAATGTTTCCAAGTTGCCCATATGCAAAATTAAATGCCTGACATTATAATTTAGCTAATCAATTAATCAACAAATAATAAAAACAGCATAAGATTTAAGATATGAGGAAAAAGTTTTAAAGTACACAAAGAAAGTTACAAATAATAATAATAATAATAATAATAATAATAATAATAATAATAATAATTGGAAACCGCAAAACGAGACAACTTTCTAAACAATTACCTCGTGCACACAAATGCGCATTGCTGAATGGTACAGATTAAGTAAAAAATAAAGACTATATATCTAAAAATTTGGACATTCCAAAATGACCGATCGGAACTCAACGTCTTGATTTATAAAATTCAACATATTCTTTAAGATGTTCCATCACTTCCTCTTCTGTCAGCTTATATCGCTTCAAATCGTACTTATGGCGGCCATATTTGTTTTGAGGGTGTTCCCTGATAAAGCTGCTCATCTTGGCTTCCGCTTCCGATGTCAACCTCAAACCAAAAAACTTGTAGATTTGCCTCACTACAGCCATGGGAGAACCAACTATATCTTTGTAATCAATATCGCAAAATCGATGCTCTTCTTCAGGGTGACTCTTTCGAAATTTCACCATCTCATTTCCACCGTTAATCAGTGGGGATCGAAGCATTTCTTGACCAATAACTCCTAAATCTATGTCCTTTGGCTCAAACCCTAGACTTATCATAAATGCCTCACAAAGGGAGCTTATAGACGCCGTTGCCTGGCAGGGATCACGGTAAGTGTTAATGAAGAGAGCGTCCGGGTAAACCTTCAGTATTACCTCCAGGTTCATAGCATGGGAGGACTCCTTGAAAACGAGCTGTTGGTTATTTTCCAGGGAATCTAGAATTAGACATATATTAACATTTTATGTTTGACTTTAAAATTTGCTCAAACATTAGCAGGAGAGATATCAATATTTAAATCTGCTATTTTGTTTAACACTTTGCTTTCACAGGTTTGCATGCATATGGTTGTTAAATATTTAAGACTGTATTTCAAAGGTTTACACAAAAGCATTTAGCACAGTCGAGACACAGTTCAGCGTCTTATTTTGCTAGACATATGATTCCGTAATCATGGAAATTAAAAAAATCTGTTAGTAGAGATTGGACGATTTTGAAGTTAAATATATATTTTACGACAAATAGAACACGCAAACACACACGCAAACACACACACACGCGGACACGCATGCACACACACACACACACACACACACACCTCCGCTTCTTCCCAAAAGTATGAGTTGCATTTGTAATTTATGAAATCGGTAAATTTCCACCATTTGGTCCTTGGTCAGCGTTTTTCGCCATGCCTCGTATTCCTGAAAGTTCCCTGTGATAAACCGGAAGTTTTTAAACAGCCCCATTTGGTCCATCAGATGGTAGCACTCGTACGCCATGTCAGCGTGTATGTAATGCTGAGCTTTCAATTCAGGCATCTCTTTGTACACCGTAGCTAAAACAAGAAAGAGTGATAGAAGTCAATTGTAAGCGATTTTTTGCGAGGTGGGGGGGGGGGGGGGTGTAGGCAAATGTTGTAAGTGAGAATTCTTGGATTCTTTGCAGATATATGCACTTTTCTTTTAAATTCTGGAGATAGGAAAATGATATACAGAAGTCTCATTTTAAAAGATGATTAGGCGAATTCCATTCGTGCCGATGAAGGGAGAGCAATATCTTACTGAGCCATCGGTGAATACATTGTTTTGTTTACACATGTTAACATTTTGTGTTCTAAAGTAAAATTTCCTGGAAATGTCAACGCTTTCCATCTAATTACCAAGGCAATCATGTAAAGCCATTCACAGAATTACGAGCTACGAACCCGATGTAGAGTTTCAGTTTTCATTTTTCAGGTATTTTAGAAGTGGTGATTTATAAATTTATAAAAAAATAGTTGTCAAAGAATCATAAGAAAAGTATTTGCTAAACCTTCAAATTGGACATTTCGCCAAATGTATCCAAAATGGCGAACCTTCATAGCTGAGACGCACGCATTAACTTTTCTTTCATTTTGTGGCCAGCTTATTTTTGTTTGCTACATTTTAGACAAAGAAGATGGGAATACCTAACGCTCGTTGTTCGGTCAGAAGTCTCTGTTCCTTGCCTCCTACGATAATATCTTCCACTGGGTGTATCGTCTCGTAATATCTGGGTGAAGTATTACTCGGATCCTGGTACAGAAGGTTCAGAAGGAAGGTCGTCCCAGAGCGACACGGTCCAATGATGAATATGGGTTTCTTGATCTGACACTGTTCAATGATAAAAGATTTCACGTCAAAACCTTTTTCGCTGCCTCTTGTGTATAAGGATCAATAACAGTAGTAAATCGTTTCGAAAGAGATTAATTGTGAAGGTGAATCTTATTATTACGCATGATATTTCGACCCTTCATCAAAATATCTTGATAATTTACCATATATACATGTACAGTAAGTCCCTGTTTTCGTAAAATTTTGTATTTGTAGTAATATCTTAAGAGATGATTACGGAGGTATAGCCATCTGTGAATGTCTACGTGGTCTGACGGCAAAAACAGCTACCAAAATAATTGCCATAACCTTATTTTGTGGTAAAATGAAATCTGTCATATTTCTGTGAGTTGTTTACAATGTATTTATTGTGGAATATGGATCTCATACGAAGAGGTGTTATTTCTTTAAGTAACATTGTCTGTGCAGGGCCGCACTCACATCCCACTCCCACTGGCAGCCTTGACTTGAGTTGCTGTCAGTCCATGGGGTGCGCTATAGTACTCTGTTACAAAATGTACGGCACCCTGTACGTTTTCACGTAATCAACGGAACTGCGTCCCTTGCCAGACATATTTTTTTGTGTACTTCTTGTCTTAACACCTACCGTCTACAAGGCGAATAAAAATGTAGAACTTAGAGACCATTCCAGAGCCTATCGTACTAACTTTGGATCTCCAGGGGATTCTAGGTTAATTGCGATTAACTTGAGCGGCTTGGATGTCTGTCATGCCTACTGAAGGTAATAGGGGGAAATTAACTATCGTTTAGAGGCTTTTGTGGACGTCCCAGACATCTAAGCCACATGAGCTGAAAGCAAATTGGCGAGGGACCCCATGGAGATGGACCGTTCCTGTTAGATCGATCAAGGGATGGGAACCCAGGCTTAGGGACCATTCAGATTGAGAAGAGCCGGGTGCTAGCTAGGCCGCAATCTAAATATGGCGGACCTACATGAAAGGAAGACCGCTTAATCCTGTAATGGTCTCTCCGCTTCTCACACGCCTCCCCTTACGTGGAATATCGAGATTTAATTACTGTGCCCCTGCAGGGACGACGCGATGGGAGGCATGTGAGAGGCGGAGAGACCATTACAGGATTAAGCGGTCTTCCTTTCATGTAGGTCCGCCATATTTAGGTCGCGACCTAGCTAGCACTCGGCTCTTCTCGATCAGTATGAGGCCTCAGATCACGAATATTGTAAAACACAGACCTTTGATATGTCAACAGATGCCAGACGTCTGGATATGGCAAGTCTGTTTTGAAGAACTTCGGTCCATCTTGTTTCAACAACCTTTCTCCCTGCCACAGACAACGCTTTGTCTTCGCGGTAACACTTCAAAAGAATACAAAATCCTTCGTACCACCACCGACGAGTGAGGTCTTCTGACAGAATAATCCTTCGCTCCTCGACGGTGAATTTTCTCCACAGACTTTCCTTCGTGAGAGGACTCAGTCTGGTCCGAAACACAACCCGGTACACCCAATCCAGCAATATATGGCAATATGGGAGGCAAAACGCGAAAATATCTTGAAAACCTGGCATATTAACTACACGGAATTCTGTCTGACAATTTATGAGTGGTACCCTTGGATGCGTCGTGAAGCAATTGACCTATTAATAGATAGCACCATTTGACCCTTTGCGATCTGTCTGATACTCCGTCTGATCTGTCTACCCTAGATAAAGGTCGTAAGTACATATGACCATCATCTTAAATTTCTCATGAATAATTTGTGTCACGATCGTGGGGTTTTTAGTCTATGGACAGATATAGTTGATTATTTGGCTTACTTATAGTGACTGTCGGTAAATATATCATTTTAAACATCCGATGAGAAACGTGCTCATCCTTTCGCTTTCTCTTCTTTTTCTTTTTGTTCTTTTTTATTTTACCGGAGGTCAATATAAAATTTTCTAAAGAATTAAATTGAATCAAATCAAAATACAAAGTGTAAATTGTATAAAGTGAGGGTACAGGTCGAGCAATGATTCAAGTGAGTGTAATTTTCTTCTTGTGGGAAATTACAGCCACAAGGTTACTTTTAGAATGCCTTAATAGGTGGAACTCAAGTTAGCTGAAATGATATTCAAAATTTTATTCATGGCATTTTGCGATTGAACTTGACCTTTGTAAATAACCTGTGCACTCTATGCAGACAAATGGACGTGTCATTTTGGAGTTGAAAATGACACATCTTCACTCTTCTCAAGTCTCCCCTTGTACCAATATGTTTTATTAAATACCTTTTATTATTAACTCTTCAATTATATATATATATATATATATATATATATATATATATATAATTATTATTATTATTATTATTTTTAACAAGCCATTGAATACAAGAAGCATTGAGATATATCAAAATACATAATGAAAAAATTTCAAAGTTTCTAACGGGAATCCCATAAAGGGTATCAATGATTCGAAAGTGCAAAAAAGACAACTTTAAAAAAAACTGGACATTTCTTAATTGTACAGATAAAGTCAAAAATAAAGTCCATCTAGACTTGTGGACATCCTTTACAGACCGATCTAGGATTATCGTCGTGATTTATAAATCTCAAATATTAAAATTGAAAATGGTATAAGACATCGAATCAAAGCGCACCGTCGGTCCAATTCATGTAGCGATTTAAATGAAGGACCAAGTGCTTTTTACTCGAAGTAAATTACAGTTAAAGATATGAATTGATAATTTAAAATGAATTAAAACCCACAAAGCCATCGAAGTAGCGTTTTTACAAAACTGAAGTGAGCTAATTTGGTATTCAAAACTTATTTCTTAATATCGTCAGTTTACCCTCGTCATATTCAGGATAAATGACCCCTATTTAAAAGACCTCGACATATATAAATGATCCCAAATGGCCTGCAAACAGAATCCAAGATATCTCTTTAATATTTCCAAGTTGCCCTTTTTTATCCATATGCAAAATTAAATACCTAACATTATAATTAAGTCAATCAAACACAACCAATTAAATAAAAGCAGCATAAAAATTGTATGAAGGAGAAGTTTTCAAGGAAAATGAAAAAAAGCTTTAATAGCCGAAAAACGCAAAAGGGTCAACTTTCTAAACTATAACATCGTGCGCGCAAATGCGCATTGCTTTATCGTACAGTTAGAGCAAAAAATAAAGACTAAATATCTAGAATATTCCACAATGACCGATCGGCACTCAACGTTGTGATTTATAGAATTCAACATAATCTTTAAGGTGTTCCATCACTTCCTCTTCTGTCAGCTTATATCGCTTTAAATCGTACTTATGGCGGCCATATTTGTTTTGAGGGTGTTCCTTGACGTATGCGCTCATCTTGGCTTCCCCTTCCGATGTCAACTTCAAACCAAAAAACTTGTAGATTTGACGCACTACAGACATGGGAGAACCAACAATATCTTTGTAATCTATATCGCAAAATCGATGTTCTTCTTCTGGGTGGCTCTTCCGAAATTTCACCATCTCATTTCCACCGTTGATTAGTGGGGATCGAAGCATATCTTGGCCAATGAGTCCTAAATCTATGTCTTTTGGTTTAAATCCTAGACTTATCATTAAATTCTCACATAGAGAGCTTACAGACGCCGTTGCCTCGCAGGGGTCACGGTAAGTATTGATGAAGAGGGCGTCCGGGTAAACCTTTAGTATTGCCTCCAGGCTCATAGCATGCGTGGACTCCTTAAAAACGAGCTGTTGGTTATTTTCCAGGGAATCTAGAATTACACATATTAAATTAGTTCTATAATATGCCTGATAGATATCAGAATTTAATGCTGCTATTTTGTTTAACATTTTGCATGCAAGATCTAAGGCTTCGGTCACATGGAAAGTCTATTTTCTAAAAATCTATTTTCTATTCGCGGTATCTTATGATCACGGTCTGTGCCCTGAATATCCCGCGGCCTAATTACTGGCAGCGCGAGCCAGTTACTTACAGTAACTTATAGTAACTGGCTTGCGCTGATAGTAATTACGCCGCGGGATATTCAGGGCACAGACCGTGATCACAAGATACCGCGAATAGAAAATAGATTTTTAGAAAATAGACTTTCCATGTGAACGAAGCCAACGACAGTATGTCAAAGGTTTATACAAAAGCATTTCTCGCAGTTAATACACAGTTCAGCGTCTTTTTTTGCGAGACATATGTTTCAGTAATCATCTTTAAGTAGAGGTTCTGAAGTTGAAAGGATACCTTACGACGAATGAACGAAAAACCCGTGCCCACGCACGCACGCACAGACACACACACACAGACACACACACACACACACACACACACCTTTGCTTCTTCCCAAAAGAATGAGTTGCATTTGTAATTTATGGAATCGGTAAACTTCCACCATTTGGTCCTTGGTCAGCGTTTGTCGCCACGCCTCGTATTCCTGGAAGTTCCCTGTGATAAACCGGAAGTTCTTAAACAGCCCCATTTGGTCCATCAGATGGTAGCACTCGTACGCTCTGTCAGCGTGTATATAATGCTGAGCTTTCATTTCAGGCATCTCCTTGTACACCGCGGCTATGTATAAAACAAGAGAATTTGATATAAATCTAACATTTGTGTACGGTTGAAAAGGCATTTTTATTTGGGAAAAGGGCGGATATTGTAAGTGATCACAGCGAGTACATGTATCCATCTTATTATTAAAGACAGAAGGAGATAAAAAGAAAAGACACAAGCTTCATTCAGAGATTTAAATTGGACATTTTGTTAAACATTCCTTCTAAACATCGAGATCTTTAACAAACCGTTACAGTATATTGTCATTTACGAGCTTTAAAAGTAGTTTAGACGTTAAACTTAAAGATCTACGGATGGAAAAAAACAATACAATCGCCAATTCTCTCTTTAAATTTTACATTTAGATGGCACCGAACGAGTAGCTAGGACGCTCTACCTTTCTTTTATTTTGTAGCCATTTTTACGAATAAAAACAGAAAATGGGAATACCCAATGCTCGTTGTTCGGTCATCAGTCTTCGTTCTTTCCCCTCTACCGCCACCTCCTCCACGGGGTGCATCGTCTCGTAAAATCTGGGTGAAGTGTTACCAGGATCCTCGTATAGTAGATTCAGAAGGAATGTCGTCCCAGAGCGAGCCGGTCCAATGATGAATATGGGTTTCTTGATCTGACACTGCAACGATTAATGATGGCGTTAAAATATTATTTTCTTTGGCTCCTGTGAAATAAACATGTTTTCTGCCTTTTAAATTTTGATTCATCATATATTGAGCCTTCGTCAAACAGCTCTGATATTACAAATACAATAAGTTGTTGATGGGTGGGGGGTTGAAAGTTAGGGCGTCTGAGTTGATGAAGGGACAGATAGATATATATTATGACCTGCGGTAAAGAATATTCACCAGTGAAGATATATATATTCAAAGTCATTTACTCAAATAAAAAAACGTGCATTAATCCCTTTTGAATCTGACGTTTCACGGAGGAAAAATGTCCATAAAATTAAAAAGTTATCGACTTATGTCACCAAGTTTATACACAATTAGCAGCACGAAATTGAAACGGTAGAAGTAACCAATGCAGTAAAAATATTGAAAAATAAAAAGGTTTCTGGGGCTGACGGTATTAGTGTAGAGTATTATCAGGACTCACTACCTATTATGTTTCACATTCTGCTGTTCAACAGAATCATAGCCTGGGAGTATATATACCCTGAGAGATGGATGGAGGCGGTGCTTTGTCCCATTCAAAAGCAAATATCACAGAAAGATAAATATTGAGAAAAATCCCTATTGATTGCGTGTAGCAGAATACTTACCAAAATTACAAGCAATCGTTTATTAAGCTGTCCAAGAATGAAGTAAAATTACGTGCAAGTCAATGTTGCTTTTGTATTTGTTTTAGCGAAGTTTGTGGATTTAGGACACGACGCTCAACCTTTGACCAGTATTTACAGTACATGCTATTAAGGAAAAATCCCTCTCTAAAGGAGGTGGGGTATAATACCTATTATACGTGTACGCAGATTTCTCGAAAGCCTTCGATAAGATAGTGCATGCATAACTGTGGCATTGGCTAACTAATTATGGCATACACGGAGAAAACATAAAAAGCGTTAGGATATATCTTACCCTAAGTACACATACCAGCTGGTCTGACGGATTGCTTTGAGTGTAGTGTAGGTACCACACAAGGCTTTGTCTGGTCACCCCGCTGCTTTTCTCTTTAAGTTATTATGTTAGAGATTTGAAGGTCAGTGAATGACGTGGTTTGTAGGCCTATTTATCACCAGAATGCCCAAATTTACTAGTTTGTTAATATGCAAATGGCATTTTAAGTGAGCTAATATGAGAGCTAACGGTATGAGAGATTTTCGGCTTGTGTTTGTTTATTTTCATTCATGACATCGTACCTGTTTATGATACTGTTATACATTAACAATAGGATGTTAATGTGTTAAGGACGTTTTTTACTAACGGGACAAGCATGAAGGTCAGCACAAAGAAAAATAAGTGACCATGTGTATGAATGGAGAACCTCTGCCTTCTGGGGTGACCATCAGCTTCATCGTGACTATGCACTGAATCTACCCCCTCATATTCTGGATGAAAACCGCCTACTAGAAGCTCTTCAGGAAGAAAAGGACATTATCCCCCAAAACAGACCTGTAACTGTTGTGGAAAGCATGCTGAGCTGCCTCCAGTAAGTGCAGTATGCAGTAGACACACACGCTTTTAAACACACAACCTTTAACATTTTGATGCTCAATGTGCATTCATTTGTCAATATTGTTCTAAAGGGGAAACATTCGATTAAAAGGACTTCAAATGAATTCTGTTAAATACTGACCTTCGATACGTCAACAGACGCCAGACGTCTGGATATGGCGAGTCTGTTTTGAAGAACTTCGGTACATCTTGTTTCAACAACCTTCCTCCCTGCCACATATAACGCTTCGTCTTCGCGGTAACACTTCAAAATTAAACAAAATCCTTCGTACCACCATCGACGAGTGAGGTCTTCAGACAGAATAACTCTTCTCTCGTCTATGGTGAATTTTCTCCACAGACTTTCCTCCGTGAGAGGACTCAGTCTGGTTCGAAACACGATGCGGTACACCCAATCCAGCAATATATGGAAATATGGGAGGCAAAACGCGTATAGATCTTGAAAACCTGGCATAGTGATTACACTCAAGTTTGTCTGGAGTAATGTATTTAAGTGGACTGATAAGACGCTGTTTTGTGTGTTGCGAAGTGGTTGACCTATTACTGGAAAGCACGTTTGACCTTAATCTTGACCTTTGACCCAGAAAATAACGATAAATGTATATATGTGCATGTACTTACACATCTCAAATATCATACTCATCTTAAATAAAACTTTTAGGTTAATAGGTTAAAGCCAAGCAAAATTACCCTAGGTTCTAGATTCCGGTATTGCCAGCTCGATCTTGATTTCATATATAACCCATAGTAGCAATACCAGGCTCTAGCGAACAGTGGCAACTCGGGGGCGTTCTTCTTCAAAATTCTGCCTGGTGCGCTTCCATATTTGGAAGTCACACGTCACAGCTGTGTCCGCCTGGATCCATATTTGGAAGTCATAAGTCTCGTACGTCACAGGTTTTGCCGCCTGGAGCTGCCTTTCCCGCCTTGCGCTGAAGTCTCGTGCAGGCGAGACAAGAAGCAATTAAAGTGCCTGACGCGGAGTTAGAAGTTTGAAATGCAAATATCGTGCAGTCGAAGGTCAGTGCCACAATACAAGCAACATTCTGCTGTAAAAACTTATTTTCGTGTAGCCATTGCGCAGCCCTTATAGTGGTATCGGGCATACAGTGTAGCTGTCAAATTTGGCACACGGCAAGCACATGTATTGTGCACGTGTATATCTCAGGACTAAATGTTCTTTGATAAGCAAAAAATACAAAAACATTGGATATATCTTTTCTTTCCGAAGAATATTATTTATTTTTTCACTTTACATCTTAAATACAGCAAATAAAATTAAATAAAGCAGAATTAAATTTGTTTTACGTTTTATTTTGGTCTGATGACATTCAACTGCATTTTCACTGCGGAGCAGTTCTATTTGATTGATGGAAAATTTTCATGGCCGCTGCATGGTCTTCAGAGTTAGAAAAAGCGACTCCACCACAAGGTATATTTAGTAAGCTAGCTTTTACGTTGCTCTGACACTCAGGGTAAGCAAAATCGATACTTTGGGTAACTAGCAGTGACTCTGCAAATCTATTATTATGCGTGTTAAATATGCATAACATCTGAATTGAAGAATAATTCATTTTCAAATCTTTTTCATTATCTTTATTTTATCCTTTTTATTGTAATATTTGGCGAAGGCTAGTTTCAAAGTCGCAACGTTGGTCATTTTCCTTGGTCATTTCTACCTACGACTAAATCAATACACATTTTTTTTTTCATTTGAAAAAGTTTGGCGTGGTTAAACGGTAATTTATAGCAGGTATAATCTCCTTATGCCGATATCTGTCTTTCTTATGCAGCAGAAGTCACTCCTCGCACATCCTAACCGTGTAAAATGCTGAATTTCTCAAAAGTAGTGTCATTAACAAATCTATTAATAAACTTTTGTCCAGCCTCGCCATAAACTGGAAAAAAAAAAGATCATCTAGGAAAAGTTGACTTTACGATTGTTTTGAGTGTTTATGCAAAAATTGACCCACACAGTACACATTAAATTTTGGAGTTGAAAATGACACATCTTCAATGTTCTCAAGTCTCCCCTTTTACCAATTTAACTGTTCAATTGCATATATATATATATATATATATATATATATATATATATATATATATATATATATATATATATATATGTTTTAAGAAGCCATTGAATACAAGAAGCATTGAGATATATCAAAATACATAATGAAAACATTTCAAAGTTTCTAACGGGAATCCAAAAAAGGTATCAATAATTCGAATTCGCAATATAGCCAGCTGGATATTACTTAATTGTACAGATTAAGTCAAAACTAAAGTCTACCTAGAGCTGTGAACATCCTTCACGGACCTATCTAGGATTATTGTCGTGATTTATAAAATCCAACATATTCTTTAAGATATTCCATCACTTCCTCCTCTGTCATCTTATAGCGCTTCAAATCGTACTTATGGCGGCCATATTTGTTTTGAGGATGTTCTCTGACATAGGCGCTCATCTTGGCTTCCCCTTCCGATGTCAACCTCAAGCCAAAAAACTTGTAGATTTGCCTCACTACAGCCATGGGAGAACCAACAATATCTTTGTAATCTATATCGCAAAATCGATGTTCTTCTTCTGGGTGACTCTTTCGAAATTTCACCATCTCATTACCACCGTTGACCAGCGGGCATCGTAGTTTATCTTGGCCAATGAGTCCTAAATCTATGTCCTTTGGCTCATACCCTAGACTTATCATACAGGCCTCACAGAGAGACATATTGGATGCCGTTGCCTCGCAGGGATCACGGTAAGTATTGATGAAGAGAGCGTCTGGGTAAACCGTCAGTATTGCCTCCAGGTTCATAGCATGAGTGGACTCCTTGAAAACGAGCTGTTGGTTATTTTCAAATGAATCTGAAATAACAAATACTCAAACAGTGTGTTTTTTTTATTAACGACTTGCTCCATCATTAACATGATTGGTTTAATAATGTTATTTTGTTTACCATTATATCATTAATATAATACGACTGTATTAGAACTAACACCGGAGTTCAGAGGTTTACACAAACAGAGTAGAATAATTCAATATGCCTTTTATTGACAAACCTTCATTTTAGTTATTACAGAAAATAAAATATAAAAAAGTCTTACATTTACGATTATATGACTTTCAACCTGAAGTAAAAAGAAAACGTTATGACAAATAGGACACACGCACAAGGGGCGGATCCGGGATAATTTGAAGGGGATCCGGGGATACATAGCTGACCCCCCAGTGGTTTGGGATTCGGGGCCGCAGAAGGGCCATGAAAAAACTTGGTATATAGAGGGCGAACGGTGCCATTTGGTACGGTTTAGAACTATGATTCAGCTAGTCAAAATTCAAATTTCAAGAGGTAATTTTTTTCAGAAATCGAGGGAAAACAGCCCCCCTGACCCCACCTCCGAAATCCGCCACTGCGCACTCACATGGCTACACTCACACAAATACACACACACACACGCACACACACACACTCACACACACACACGCGCACACACCTTTGCTTCTTCCCAAAAGGATGAGTTGCATTTGCAATTTATGGAATCGGTAAACTTCCACCATTTGATCCTTGGTCAGCGTTATTTGCCATGCCTCGTATTCCTGGAAGTTTCCTGTGAGTAACCGGAAGTTCTTAAACAGCCCCATTTGGTCCATTAGATGGTAGCACTCGTACGCTCTGTCAGCGTGTATATAATGCTGAGCTTTCATTTCCGGCATCTCCTTGTACACCGCGGCTATGTATAAAACAAGAGAATTTGATATAAATCTAACATTTTAGTACGGTTCAATAGGCATTTTTATTTGTGGAAAAGGCGGATATTGTAAGTGATCACACTGAGTACATGTAATCACCTTATTATTAAACACAGTAGCAGATAAAAAGAAAAGACACAAGCCCCATTCAAAGATTTAAATTGGACATTTTGTTAAATATTCCTCCTAAAAATCGAAATCTTTAAAAATAGTTAGACGTTAAGCCTAAAGAACTACAGATAGAAAAAAAAAACAATACAATCGCCAATTATCTCTTTAAATTTTACAATGGGATGGTAACGTACGAGTAGCTAAAGCGCTCTACCTTTATTTTATTATGTAGCCATTTTTTGGATTAAAAACAGAAAATGAGAATACCCAATGCTCGTTGTTCGGTCATAAGTCTTCGTTCTTTCCCCTCTACCGTCACCTCCTCCACAGGGTGCATCGTCTCGTAATATCTGGGTGAAGTGTTACCAGGATCCTCGTATAGTAGATTCAGAAGGAAGGTCGTCCCAGAGCGAGCCGGTCCAATGATGAATATCGGTTTCTTGATCTGACACTGCAACGATTAATGATGACGTTAAAATATTATTTGCTTTGGCTCCTGTGAAATAAAAATGTTTTCTGCCTTTTAAATTATGATTCATGACATTTCGAGCCTTCGTCAAACAACTCTGATATCACATATACCATAACATATACCATAACGTTGCTGGTGGGTGGGGGGTGGGGGGTGGGGGGTTGAAAGCTAGGGCGTCTGAATTGATGAAGGATTAGATTTACATATATCGTGACTTGATGTACAAAATATTCACAAGTGAAGATATGTATATTTGAAGTCATTTACTAAAATAAAAGACATGAACATGAATCCCTTTTGAATCTGATGTTTCACGGTGATTTCCATGGAGAAAAAAATGTCCATAATATTTTAAAGATACCAACGAATGTCACCGGGTTTATACACAATTACGTACATGTGGCACCAAAATGAAACGGTAGAAATAACCAATGTAGTAAAAAAGATTGAAAAAAAGTTTCTGGGGCTGACAATATTAGACCCCATTCCCATAGATTTTAGATCGATCTATCCCTGTGGGGAGTCTCACTAGATATACTGTCAGCTTAACCGACTTAAAAGCGTCTGTCCCGCCTACTAAAAGCTGTAAGGGGGTAATTAACTATGGTGCGCGCTCGGCTGACTGCAATTTAACGTGAACCCCCAGGGAGTTAGGTCGATCTAAATCTAAATCTCTGGATCGATCTAAATCTCTGGGAATACACCCTAGGATACTGTTGAACAGCAGAATGTGATATGGCATCATAATAGGTAGTGACTTCTGGTAATACTCTACACTAAGGGTGCATTCCCAGAGAGTTAGATCGATTCAGAGATTTAGATTTAGATCGACCTAACTCCCTGGGGTTCACGCTTAATTGCAGTCAGCCGAGCGCGCACCATAGTTAATTACCCCCTTACAGTTTATAGTAGGCGGAACAGACGCTTAAGCCGGCTAAGTTGACAGTTATCAAGTGAGATTCCCCACAGGGATAGATCGATCTAAAATATATGGGAATGAGCTCCTAGTCTAGGGTTATATATGCGTTGAGAGATGGATGGAGGCGGTACTTTGTCCCATTCAAAAGCAAATATCACAGAAAGATAAATATTGATAAAAATCCCTATTGACTGCGTGTAGCAGAAAACTTACCAAAATTACAAGCAATCGTTTATTAAGCTGTCCAAGAATAAAGTAAAATTACGTGCAAGTCAGTGTTGCTTTTGTATTTGTTTTAGCGAAGTTTGTGGATTTAGGACACGACGGTCAACCTTTGACCAGTATTTACAGAAAATGCTATTAAGGAAAAATCTCTCTCTAAAGGAGGTGGGGTATTATACCTTTTATACGAGTACGCAGATTTCTCGAAAGCCTTCGATAAGATAGTGCATGCATAACTGTGGCATTGGCTAACTAATTATGGCATACACGGAGAAAACATAAAAAGCGTTAGGATACATTTTACCCTAAAAACACACCCCTGCTGGTCTGACCGATTGCTTTGAGTGAAGTGTAGGTACCACACAAGGCTCTGCCTGGTCACCCCGCTGCTTTTCTCTTTTTAAAAGTCATTTATTAGGTTAGAGATTTGAAGGTCAGTGAATGACGTTGAGTGTAGGCCTACTTATCACCAGAATGCCCAAATTTACTAGTTTGTTAATATGCAAATGGAATTTTAAGTGAGCTTGAAAGTAAGCTAATGGTATGAAAGATTTTCGGCTTGTGTTTGATTATTTTCATTCATGACATCGTAAGTGTTCGTGATATCACCATGATATTCACTGTAATACATTTACAATAGGATGTCAATGTGTTAAGCGCGTTTTTTTTTACTAACTGGACATGAAGGTCAGCATAAAGAAAGAATGGTGACCATGTGTAGGAATGGAGAACCTCTGCCTTCTGGGGTGACCACCAGCTTCATCGTGACTATGCACTGAATCTACCCCCTCATATTCTGGATGAAAACCGCCTACTAGAAGCTCTTCCGGAAGAAAAGGACATTATCCCTCAAAACAGACCTGTAACTGTTGTGGAAAGCATGCTGAGCTGTCTCCAGTAAGTGCAGTAAGCAGAAGACACACACGCTATTAAACACGCAACCTTTAACATTCTGATGCTCACTGTGCATTCATTTGGTAATATTTCGCTGTGACTTTTCTAATATTGTTCTAAAGGGGAAAACATTCGTAAAACAGGACTTCAAATGAATTCTGTTTAATACAGACCACTGATATGTCAACAGACACCAGACGTCTGGATATGGCGAGTCTGTTTTGAAGAACTTCGGTCCATCTTGTTTCAACAACCTTCCTCCCTGCCACAGATAACGTCTCATCTTCGCGGTAACACTTCAAAAGAATACAAAATCCTTCGTACCACCAGCGACGAGTGAGGTCTTCTGACAGGATAACCCTTCGCTCCTCGACGGTGAATTTTCTCCACAGACTTTCCTCCGTGAGAGGACTCAGTCTGGTCCGAAACACAACCCGGTACACCCAATCCAGCAATATATGGAAATATGGGAGGCAAAACGCGTATAGATCTTGAAAACCTGGCATAGTGATTACACTCAAGTTTGTCTGGAGTAATGTATTTAAGCGGACTGACTTTGTGTGTTGCGAAGCGGTGGACCTATTAATGGAAACGCTTTTGACATTTGTCCCATATGATAACGATAAATACATATCAAGTAGCAAATAAAGGACGTACCCAATGTACTGGTAGCTGGCCAAGTCGTTCGGTATCTATTACGCGGTGAATGCAACAATCAAATTTCACGTTCGCGCATTTAAAGCGCGGTTTAAGTCGTTAATTCGGCGTTTGAAATCACAAACAGGCATCCCCAGATCACAAACAACAACGTCAATTATTGTAAATGTGGCCTAAGATGTATGGAGCCAGCGTCTTAGACCCCTTTCCCATACCTAGATCGATTTATTGGGATCTACCCATCTCCGAGGGGTTTCTCGCTATATTACATTCAGCTTTAGCGGCTCTGATGTCTGGCACACCTACTGAAGCTGCTGAGGATATTGTCATTTTTCGCCCAAAACTCATTATTTACTGCCCTACATACTTTCTCTTGGGTAATAAATAAATCTTCAGTGTTCAGTGACTAAATTAATTAATATTTACACATGTCATCTTTCGGGTGACGCCATAATTGCGATTTTGGGGTAAAAACTGAAAAAAACGGTTTATCAAATTTTTCGAAGCACCAACGGTCAACGGTTCAACGCCGATTTAATGACACCATTTAGTACTCCAAAACCCTGCCAGCGATTATTTTTTAAAGTCTTAGTTCCGATTTTTTCCGTTAATAAAGCAAAATAATGCCTTTGTTTAATGAAAATCTATAATTAGGGACTCATAACTCCAGAACAAAAAACATTTAAGCCAAAATGACTGCACGGAATTGTAGCCTATACACTACTGGTCAACTCTGCCAATTCTCGTGATAAAATCTTGTTCGGAGTTGAATTTAAACCCCATATCGATTGCTATCTCACCTAAAAATAGAAATGTGTTAAATTAACGATTAAAGCTTTGAGTTGCCTATGCTTATACATTGCAACGAAAAATATAAACGCCGATATTTTATATTTTTGAGGGTTTTTCTGTTGTTTTTAAAGCAGCACAAAGATATATGTATCATTGAATATATAGATGTAGGAAAGAACTCATTTTCGGTATCTGGATGATAATAAAGGGTTACAATGTCCTTAAACGATTGTTAATTACCTCCTAGCAGCTTCAGTAGGCGTCCCAGACACCAGAGCCGCTTAATGCAATTTTGTGAGAAACCCATCGGAGATGGGTCGATCCTGTTAGATCGATCTAGGTCTGGGAATGGGGTCTTATTAGTGGTAAGTTTTTTGTCTAAGACCAGAAAAAAATTGATGTTGGGTAAGGAGCGTCGACTTTCTGTAAACAGGGTCGATGAAAGCAATTCATCTCCTTTTTGAACACATGGCGTTCAACGAAGACAGCAGCTAAATTTTAGCGTCAAACGTTTTTTTTTTACTTCTTTCTTTTCTTTTTCAGTTACATTTTAATTTCTAACTGGGTTTGGGGGGGGGGGGAGGCAAACACACAGAGTTAGCGAATATAAATTATAAAAACTAATTACGGATTTTCCCGGGACATTTGTAAATTGTGGAAAATGGCATCTTTTGGAGGTTGCCCCGTTTTACCGATGTGCTTAATTAAACCCTCTTTAGTATGAATTAATTAATGTATTATTTCATATATTATTATAATCAATTAAATGTTAGAGGTGCCGTTTGTCTGTGCATGTGTAATTTGAATAAATGAAAAAGAAGAAAGTGAAATTTTCATGTTTACGATAATGTATTGATTACAAAATAAATAAAAAACACTGAACATGTTTTATTATTTGTTTATTTTACAAGAAGTCAAGAGAAAGGAAAAAATAATAAAAGTCACATCTACAGTGTAATACGGAATTCCTTTGTATCATAAATATCAATTATACATATATACGCAGTATATAACAAATCGATAAAAGTATAAACATTAAAATTTTAAAGAAAATATTCTGAGAATCTTATCAGTTTTTAAAGCTCTTCTATAAAATCCGTCTAAGTCAAAAAATATAGATAACTACCCCTATTGGACACACTGTTATCTCTGGATTATAAATTTTAAGGGAATGACGTTCTTTTATGGTACTGTTCCAATGGCACTTCACAGTTACTGGATTCCTTTGTACATCACTTCCTTTGTACATCACTCCCATACTCCGACTGCGGCAACTTTATCCCATGGTGACCGTCTTGCGCAGCAGCTTTCTGGTCGCTTCGTCTTATCCAGTACCACAGCAACAAACCATCCACGATCCACTTGATCAACATGAATAACAGGAGGATTAGGTGGATCACATAGAAAGCTGTGTACCTGGAACATATATTAACATACATTGAAAAGTTCTAAAATAATAATAATAATAATAATAATAATAATAATAATAATAATAACCAGAGAGATATTCAATCATAATCTTAAATAAAATCTCTCTCTCTCTCTCTCTCTCTCTCTCTCTCTCTCAATATATATTGTAAAAAAGGTTTTAAAAAAACAAGAAAATCAACCTCACAAACAACATAATGCTTTTATCATACTTTCTGCACCAGACTGAGCTGGTGAAAATGTACAGATGTGATAAAAAAGGGATTCTCTGAAAAGTACATATTAACTTTCAGTATAATTAACCTACAGAACAATAAATAAATAAATAAATAAATAAATAAATAAATAAATAAATAAATAAATAAATAAATAAGAAAAATGAAGAATGAAAGTTAACCAAAAAAAAAAAAAAAAAAAAAACCTTTATGACTTTTTCCCACTGTCTACCACCCTGGTTAGGATTAGGGCGCAAAGGTAAAAATATTAAATATATTGTCTTGATTTCCCCAGCTTATACAAATACTAGACAAGGACAGTTATATCTTAATATGTAAGGCACTGGAAATGAAAGATTGCTGTTTTTGATTTACCGTAACCATTTTGGTGAGGGAGAAGTTGTAGATGGGGGTATCTGCAAAGCTGGAGGTGGGGTGGGGATGAGGGTGGGAGAATATGGTCTACTATATAACTACTCACCTGGTTTCTTGCTCATTAAACAAACAGGCTGGTGACATATCCTCTCCTCCACTGCAGGGAATATACCTGATTGGACACAGATACAGTATGAAGTTTAAAATGTCTAAAATCTCACTTTTCATTATCTTTTCCTCTTTCAAGATTTATCACTCTCAAAAACTGATATCAGACTTTCACTTTATGACATGAACTAAACTAACTTTTCAATTTTTTTTAAATCAACATTTCAAAGAAAAAACATATCAAAGAAAAAATATTGACGTTTTTTTCACTATAGAGATTTTAAACTGAATCAAAACTTTTTAAATATATTTTGCACTATTTTTTTAGTATAAACTTAAATTTCTGAAAATTCTAGTGATGTGAGTGATTAAAAAAAGGAATATTTGTAAAACTAAATTTTATACATAAATATAACTTACCAAGGCAGCATAGTTTGTCTAAAGACCCAAAATGCCACATTAGCAACCCAATAAGCTATCATGTGTGATAAGATGGCACACAAACTGAACATGCCATAGCTTCTGTAAGGGTTGAGACATAGGCCTGAAATGATCAAGATTACAATATATCAGGTGTACTATTTCATACACTTGTATTTTACTTATTTTATTATAAAGCATAAAACTGAATATGTGAATATGTATTCACATGTGATGCTGTAATGTTCTTCAGAGATAAAACATGTATGTTACATCAGCAATCACCTGTCCTTTAATTATTATAACTCCATGATCAGCTTTAACTATTCTCAGTACTTTAACTGGTATACAAACCAATATCATCATCATCATATTATTATTATTGTTTTTTTTATTATTATTATTATTATTTTAACACCATACCCCCAGTGTTATATATCATTATAAATACTATCCACATCATCATACACCGTTTCCTATTATCATATTATTATTATTATTATTATTATTATCATTATTGTTGTTGTAGCTGTTGTTGTTTACCTGGTATAAAGACCAGCCAGTGCAGTCCAGTCATAAACCCCAGCAGGACCCAGGCCACATAGCCCAGAGCTATACGACCACTGCACATCCTTCAAGCTTCTTCTCAGTATCACTGACAAACAAGGCTAACTGCGCAACCTCCTTTTTTCAAATATAATGTTGATTTATACTGTAGTAATGTGTTGTGTGTGGAACTGTTTAGGTTTATCTCCAACTCTTTATCCTTCTACAGTAGTTTTCAAATCTTGTGGGTGACGGACATTTGTGATCAAAGTATCACTTCATACTTGTTGATTTTGTCTGCTGGGGAACTTGCAACGTTCAGATTTCTGGCTCTACTGAACGGAAAGATGCGCTGAGCTGCTGGAATGAGAAGCACACACATGTACATGTACGTGTTGAAATAGTATTAAATTTAATAATCCAACGCCATATTCTATACCGTACTGGTACAAATGTATATATACCTTTAGGTATATGTATTACGAATATGTCTAAGTATATGCAGTAGCTTGTTAGAAGGATACTAATATACACTTTTTGGCCTACTGGCAAACTACGATGGTCTTGTGCAGGAGATGGATATATGAGGACTCCAATTTAACACCATACCCATGCGCTGTATTGCGGTGTATTGCGCATTTCAGTCACACCGCCAATGGGTCCAAATTGGTCCTGTGAGTGTGACGCTAAGCGATTGTCAAGTGTCGACTTGCAAAGTTTTGCTTATGGTCTATGTTTTAAGCACTGTGATTGCCCTTGAAAAAAATATATATAAGATCTATGTTTAATCGTCTAAAAGATAACCTACCTTTAGGACAACGTTTCACCCTTCCTGCTTCGTCAGTCACCTATTGTTGTTGTGTTTACGCAATGCTTTACTTTTCGTACTTCTATCGCAAAAGAGCTACAAGATTTACTCCCAAGAGGCACCAAACAAGGAGACCTTGAACCGTTGAATTAGCTCATTTTGTGTGTGCGTTCTAAAACATAATATATGTTTCAAGAACCTTACTGTGCTTGTAAATACCGGGACCAAAGAGTGATAAAATTTTCAAAGCGTCATTCAAACACAGATTAGGGAGAGTTACGGCGCGAGGGCGTATCAAAGCGGGTTACATGATAATTTTGTTAGGGGAAGTTAAACGATAGGAGTAGGCCTACTAATGCGGGGCGTAAAGTGATCGATGACCCTTTTTCGATCACTGGAAATTAAAAACTTACCCAAATTTTCACTTGGATGAGAGAGAGAGAGAGAGAGAGAGAGAGAGAGAATTTGAATTTGGAAATCACATTTACACAGCGAACCAGAGAATTTTCATCTTTCTGTATACATTTTTTGAAGGGAGTGGGTTTCTCACTCCATATACAGAATATATTCAAGACTGTTGTACGAACTACCCTGGAATATGCTGTGTAGGTGTGGTGTCCTGGGCCCCGTAACTCGAAAGCATTGCGACCGATCGCGAGCGCAAGCGTCTCGATTCCATAACTCGCCCATACTCGTCCCATATAGGCCCTATTATATTATATAGCCTCTATGTGATATCGCTATTCGCAATACGCGAAGCTTTCGAGTTACGGGACCCTGGACTGACGAAGTGCCATTTAAATGAACTGTAAGTGACCTCTACATGCTAAGCGCTATTGCTTACCCAAGCCTGACAGTCATAAACAAGTAGACGTAAGTAACAACTGCTTCCATAAACCGACTTTTAACTATAATGGGAAATCTCGACTTTTTGTCCTCAAATGATACACATTCCTTAATATTTGGCTTTTTTTTACGATACAGCTTTCCACCCTTGTGGACGTCTTTCCATCCTAAGCAAACACCGAGCTAAGATGACACTTAAATATTAGGCCTAGTAGGCCTATATGCGTGTACTCATTGCAATACATTTTAAAACTAGAAAAGCACTCCGAGAGCGCAGATCTCCGCAAAGGCAGCAAAGTCACTACCAAATGCCGTTTCACCCCTAAATTTTCATTCTACAATGATTTATTTATTTTTTATTTTTGATCGTTCATTAATGATCTGGACCGGACCACCACCAAAAACTAATCATCTGTTCCTTGCCCCACTTCTGACAGTTCCTGAAAATTTCATCAAAATCGGTCCATAACTTGGTTTTTTATTTTTGATTATTGATTGATAATTGATCCAGATCACCACCAAAAACTAATCACTTCTAAGTTAACCCATTTCTGACCTACCCTGAAAATTCCATCGAAATTCATCCATAACTTTTTGAGTTATGTTGATGACAAACAGACAGACAGACAAACAGGGGTGAAAACATAACATGTCTTCGTCTGCCATTAATGATTCTTGAAAAAAAAAAACTTTTTTCAGCCTTGTACTCTCCCAAATATTCAGATACATGTACTTGGACTTGCCGTTGCATTTTAATATCATTGCACCGAGGCATGTTCGACTGTACGTGTAGGCTACTATAGTGTTCAGTTTATCAGCTGACTAATAAAGCTCCATTTACAATGACTTTGGCAGCAAAAGCTACTGTGCATGCGCACAAACTCCACGGTGGACTTTCGCTGTATGCAATAAGATTAAAAGACCGACACCCCTACTCATGTTCCTACCGTAGTCATATAACAGCTCCTTTGAAATTAACTCAGCGCCAAGAGAATTAAGGAGCGTTATAGTTTGTTAGTCTAATTGCAATCAGCGAGCGCCGCCGTGGAGTTGGAAAGCAGCAGATATAATGCTCCCTTTTGTTTAGCCCTCTCCGACCTGAATTAAAACTTCCCACAGTCCTAACCCGAATGCTATTTACAAAGGGCAACAAACAAGTGTATCGAGTAATAATTCAATAAACTATAGATTTTGTCAGGTCATGGGAACCGTCCTCTGTTGATTATTCATTATCAAAAAACGTCCCTGCTGATTGTACATGATAAAAAAAGATAAGCTGCGTTCCCAATCTTTCTGTTAATCTTTAGGCCTTTTGCAGCTTGATGACTAGAAGAGTTTGCTCTCCAGTAAACAAAAGAATGGTGGACAGCAAGTTCTTCAGTAAACAAAAGTCAACATCTAGTCATCTATAGCTGCAAAAGGCCTAGATGTATCATTTTCGCCCTCAGTACGCTTAGATACTTTTGTGTTTTTTGGCCATGGTCTCTGGGCTCATTCCCATAGGCACCATCGGTTTACGTAGGTCGATCCAACTCCGCAGGGACTCTCGCTGAATGCAATCAATATAACAGATTAACACGCCTCCTCCTGGCGTTGAGTAAAATACGGCATTGTTGATGAGTTTACGGACTTCCGATGGAACCAAGAGGATGCGTGTCAATCAGTTTAAACTGATTGCGCTCGGCGAAAGACTCCGCAGAGTTGGATCGATCTATTAAGACCGATGGTGTCTATGGGAATGGGCCCTCTGTCTGTTAGATATCTTATATAGGTACCTGATACATGAAAACGAACATTAAGGGTGTCTCACTCATTCAGTCTCGATCCTATTTTATAGCCGTGGACCGTTGCCCAAGAAGGTGAGTAGCTGTATACGTACCACTCAACAGAAACTTCCGAGTAAATTATTCAGATCCACGGTTTAAGTTTCCGATCCGGATTATTTTGGGACTGTTTCGATATATCTAGTTTTCCTTGAGTTAAAGAAAGACAATTTTCTAAAAGTTTAAAGCATTGTTCGACCTGTCGCTGCACTTGAAAAGAATACATTATATACCATTTCTTCTTAAATTAAATAATTTCTTAAGCGGCTCTGATGTCTGGCACACCTACTGAAGCTGTAAGGGGATAATTGACTATCGGTTCTCAGCTTCAGTGGGCGTGCCAGACATCCAAGCCGTTTAAGCTGAAAGCAATTTCGCGAGAAACCCCTCGGAAATGGGCCGATCCTATTAGATCGATGTAGGTATGGAAATGCGGTCTTACTGACCGACAACTGACCGACGTTGCGATCTCAACCTGAGACTTTCCACTAGGTAAATGACCTGGGCCCCGAAAGTCGAAAGCATCGCGCATTGCGAATAGCGATATCACATAGACGTTACAGTGCATTATATGGGGCGAGTATGGGCGAGTTATGGATTCGAGACGCTTGTGCTCGGTCGCAACGCGCGATCGTTTCGAGTTACGGGGCCCTGAATGGACTGGTCACCTGGTCACATATATATATATATATATATATATATATATATATATATATATATATATATATATATATATATATATAATAACGGGAATGGGTGGAAAACCAAACACTGAACAAGAAAGGAGGCCTCAGGTTTAACCTGATAATTATACATATAGAATGGAGACTGTTCCTAGCCGTATGACAATAAATCAGGTGACTAGTCCATCCAGGTCATTTTCCTAGTGAAATGTCTCAGTTTCAGACCGCAACGTCAGTCAGTTGCTAAATGTAAGTTCCAGTATCAGAGTTGTTCATATTTATATTATTCTCAGTTTTGATACGTAATCTAACTGATCACCCTATCTCCTGTCCTGGACTGGTGGAAGCTCTACCCCCCCCCCCCTGGACTGTTGTCTAAACAAACAGGGGCCTATAGTAATAACTTTAAACAACTTATTTTACGTTAAATACGACTAGATGACTAGCATGCATAGTGCTGATAAAGGGATATGTAATACGGTAGTAGATCACGTAAATAAATAAATATATAAATAAAGGTTGCGAACAAGGACACAGAAAATTACACGATAGCACTAATGTCAAAGGACACTGGACAAAACTTATAACAAAACAATTGTTGTTGGTGTCGCAGAATTAAGGAATTTCTCTGTCCTACAATGGTTAACCAATGGTTAATTTGTGATAATGAAATGCACCTTCCTCCATTTCTATTCATTTTTATTTTTTCAGTTTCTCGTCTTGAGTGAATCAGCTTCAAAATATGAAAAATCAGCACATGGAGGAGAAGAGAGAAAAAAACGAGGGAAATTATGACAAAGACACCAAGGACTTTGACGACATTTTGACGTTGGTAGGGGAATTTGGGAAGTACCAAAGACTGATATATGTGTCACTTCTGATTGTGAGCATGTTAGCTAGCATGGTGAAGGCGTCCATAGTCTTCATAGAATACACCCCCAGTTTCAGGTAGTTGTTACGGGAGTGAAAATCTTTATATATTATAAAGTACTTAATTTAAAATCAAATATACACATAAAAGTACAAAAATGTAAAATATATTTTAAGATCAGTGAAAACTGAAAAAAAAAAAAACACTTTTGGGTACATCCACCGAAAAATTAATAGAATATCCAACATACGTTTTGTCAACATATGATAATTAAATGCTGGTTGTTTTTCATCGATAATTAGTTAATTAAAATTTCACAAAATTATGAAGTTTGAGATCAAGAGTGAAAATATTAAGCTTTAGTTCAAGACTGAACATATTATGTTTTCTTTAAATAGAAATGTGAAGCATCACAATCGTAATATCAGAATATTCACATACTAGTAGATCTACCATGTTTATATATAGGAACGACTCTGCGGTATTTTATCATTTGTACTTTCAAGATGTAAGCTACCAGGTCTTCCAAATGACACGTTCGAAATCCAGGGAGAATGGCACCAAAGTATGGTCAACATTACGATGTCAAATGTCACGGACGAAGAATGCACCGTATTTCATAATGCCAACTACTCGAGGACTAGCGGCCAAAATGACACAGTAGCTGAGAAATGTACAGAATGGGTGTTTGATACCACTGATATTGCATATTCTTATCCTATGCAGGTATGCTACGTATTTTTTTCTTTGGCTCCATGTCTTTCTTTCTTTCTTTCATTCTCCTTTGTTTTAATGTAGTTTATGTTTTGTTCTGTGCATATATTGTGGAATTCTTTTATCCACTCCACCGTTTATTATGAATGTGTGTGTAAGTGTGTGTGTGTGTGTAAGTGTGTGTGTGTGTGTGTGCGTGTTTGTGTCTGTGTCTCTCTGTGTGTGTAAAATATTAAAATTTTTATTCAACAATAAATACAAAATACATCTCTTCTGTTTTCTGTTCCGTTTAGTTCAGTCTCGTTTGTGACGACTCTTCCAAGCTGACCAATTCCTACATATTCAACGTGTTAGGGTATCTGGTGGGAGGTCCGCTGTTTGGTGTGCTGGCCGATGTGTGAGTGATGATAGTGATAAATCTTGTCAAATGTCGACTGATGACATTGAAACTGTATATATTATTGGTCGTTTTAAATAATAATAATAATGATAATAATAATAATAATTTTGATGATGATGATGATGATATAGTTGGTAGCAAGATTGTTTTTTTTTTTTTTTTTTTGGGGGGGGGGTATTTAATATAAGCATTACTAAATTAAAGGGAAGTTGGAAAATAGTTAAGTTGTTATAATTTTTGCGATTGATTTTTATGTAATGCCTTATGTACCCAGTACAGTATGTTAATGTTTTGTCGAAAAAAGATTGCTATATGTTTTATGGGACGTGTGTCATTGTGATCGAGAGATTACTAATTGATTATCTTTATGGGCGAATACAATTAAAAAGGGATATGTTTAGATACTTTGTTCTTAATTAATGACAAAAGGGAGGAACCAAACTTTGGACGTTTAATGAAAACGTACTCGTAAATAAAAAAACGAGCATTTTAAATAATGGCTCTACTTGGCACACATCAGTGGATGAGCGTATACCCAAACCTGTTTCAAATATCTTTCAGTATCGGACGAAAGGTTGCACTTTTGCTCGGAATGGGTGTTGGGGGTTTGGCAGGAGTCGCGTGGGCTTTTTCACCAACATACCTCTGGAGTATAGGAATACGATTCTTGTATGGCTTTGGCATGAGCGGCATGTACAGCTTGTCCAGTACACTAAGTAGGTTGTTTTATTTAGCATATCTTTGCTTCATTCACATCCAGGGATTTAAGAAAAGAAATGTCGTTTAGTAAAGGGAATAATTTATCACGGGAAAAAGCCAATTTGGGGTATTCGTGTTCAAAATTAAATATCCTAACGCTATTCTGTAGTGTAGCTTCTCTAATGTATGATCTGAACATTCCAAATAGAGTACGGCCAATTTCATATAACAAAAATGAATAAATAAATAAATCAATAACTAATTGACATAAAAGTGAAATTGGGCTCCTTTTCAGCTTTGGAGATGGTGGGGCCCAACAAACGAATGGCGACAGGCACCGGGCTGGCGATCATTTATGCAGGGGGCGGGGCAGTTGCTACGGGGATAGCCTACTTCCTGCGAGATTGGCGCCATCTATCGATAGCCGTATCTGCAGCATATGTACTCCTGGCCTGTGCAATGATCTTGTAAGAAATTTAAAGTTTCATAACAATTTAGCTAAAATTCACAAGTGTGATTCACAACTGAGAAATGCTTCGTGTAGTTCAATGAAAAAATGTTGCGCGTATCAGTTCGCAATTCATAATTCCATGAACAGATGTAAAAATAGCAGATCTTGGTAATTTCGAGGAAAGTATTGGAATCTCTTGAAAGCCGTATGCAAGCTTTACAAAAGTTTAAAGCCCAAGGTGTGTCTTTGGCTTTACGACTGAACAGTGTGGGTTCTAGTATAAAATTCGTGTTAACTATAATAGTTTACGGCAGCAACTTATAGTAACGGTCGGTTCAATAAATCCACCATTTCGCCATTTTTATTCTGATCATAAGTTTTGAATCACTCTTCTCTTCTCAGTTTTCTTCCAGAGTCACCGAGATGGTTGCTGACCAAAGGAGCTCACGCAAAAGCAGAGAAAATATTGAAGCGTGCCTCTAAAATAAACAAGACTTACTTTCCCAAGGGTATTGTAGAAAAAGTTGAAATGAACGAGCCCCCAACTTCAAGTGCCCGAGCTTTATTGCATGCTCCCAAATTGGTGGTTAAAATGCTGCTTCTGTACATCAACTGGTTTGTACATGCGACTACATTCTCAAAAGTTTTTTTTAAACCTTGCCACGCAAGACCCAAAACTAACGAGAAAACAGTTTTAAGTTGGCTAAGATCATACACATACCATTTCCATAATCAGCAGGTGAGGCTTTGTGGCAGCCTATGTTGATTCTAGTAGAGCCAATCTAAGATACGTTATCACAAATCAACGAGTGCTTTTCCATTCATGACTTAGTTTTATATCATCCGTTGATGAGGAAGCAAGCTTTCTTCACATTTCAGGTCCGTATCTTTTCAATTACAGGCTTGTTTTGGACATGACGTATTATGGAATAAATCTTCATGCTGGCAACATGGCTGGCGACATCTATCTCAACATCTTTCTCTTATCCATAGTAGAGATACCAGCGTACACATTGTGCTTCACTATCGACAGATTTGGAAGGAAGAGGGTATACATTATGTGTATGGTAGTGGGCGGCCTGGCATGTCTCTCGTCTCTCCTTGTTCAACGTTATGCTGATAATGGTAAGAGTACAATGTAAACCACACGGCTAACATTGAACAGATACGGATGGAGTGTTTTTGAATATCAATATGTTTGATAATACACAATACATCTGTTTGGAGCTAAAATTTTATTTGAATAATTTACTTTAAGATTAGTTGTTTTCTCAGAACTTTGAGTAGGCTACACTATACTTATTTGTATATTAAAAGCAAAATTTCTTTATCACATAGACAATTATTACCTTTCAGATCTAGAATCAACAAATTATATCAAGATAGCTCTTTCCACGGTTGGAAAGTTTGGCGTCGCTGCAGGCTATAATATCGTATATATTTGGAGTATCGAAATATTTCCTACCGTCGTTCGTAACTTCAGTTTGGGACTGGCTGCAGTTTGTGCCAGTTGTGGCTCCATTCTTGCTCCAGTTATCGTTGTAAGTTGAAAAATATTTCTAAAAAAATAATAAAAAAAAATAATTAAAATAATAACAATAAATAAATATAATATAATATAATATAATATAATATAATATAATATAATATAATAAGTTAATATATAATTCAATAAAAAAAAATAAAAGCTATCCTAGGCCCGTCCCAGCACTTTGATGATTGATACTAATTCCAGTTACTAGCTAGTAAATAAATGGCGTTAAAATGTCTGGCCAGTCGTTGAGACTGCCATGTCTTTCTGTACATTATTACTGGGGAGAGGAATTACACCTCTATCGACACCATTTTGGGGACTTTTTTCGTGTTTAATATCTGAATAATGAGGGATAAAAGGGTGGATAAAAGACAGAAAATGTGACGTTTTTTTTAATTATTAAGTATTATCTTGACACTTAGGCCTACATATGTATATCGTTTCTTTTATTCTTTTAACTCATATTGGTCAGTTTATCTTCATTTGTGAATTCTTTTCATTTAGAGGGAAATTAAAGTAGACAGTATTGGGAAGGACACTCTACCGCTTGTGATATTTGGAGCTGCAGCCATATTTGGATCAATGTGTACGATTCCTTTGCCGGAGACAGCAAAGAAAGACCTTCCCGAAACTGTGGAAGAGGCCAATAGTTTTAAGTAGTATGTTGCTTTTTATATTGGGTGGAAGGTCATATGCTTATGTTTAAGTAGATATTAATAGCTATTGGTTTTTCAATTCGGACGTTTAGACATACATTTAGATTTACATTTACAATAAAAATCATTTAGATATATCAGACACGAATCAACCTCTCTCTCTCTCTCTCTCTCTCTCTCTCTCAAAGCATGCTCCTTACCCTTGAAGACAATTTGCATTAATCTTATTGAAGATTATGTTTTTCTCTTGTAGCCGAGGACCATATGGTAGTTCCCCTAACGGTTACCAGGTGGCTCCGGGTAACGGTCTATCTGAAAGTACCGCATTATGAAGAAACGACGCATGCTTTATACAAAGGCGAATATTTTAAAGAATATTTCTCAGCTTCTTATTTTTCAAACTGAGGGAATTTCGCCGTAGGTTCTTCGTGTAATTTACCTATACATGTAGGTCCGGTGTAACGTAACTGAGAGTCCCCAACGATAGATAGTCCCCTTCTCATTCATTTGTACAGGTGAGCCTCGTCCTAGATTTTGACCACTTAGGTGAGGTTAACCCTAACCATTATAACTAAATGGAGGGCGGACTTTCTGTCACACGGACTCTCAGTTTCGTTACACAGGTACTATGCACCAAACAGTCCCATGTGACACAGGATACCGTTCCCTTACACCCTGATATCAGGGGCCTCTAAAATAGTATACAGAATTATACAGATCTGACATTTAATATGGAATATTTTCTCCAAAACATAATTAATCGGGTTTTTCCTATTTTGCTGACTGATAAATGAAAACAAGGATTAAAATCGTGTTATAAAAACTTTTGATAATCTGTTCGATGTCATTGTGACATCAGTTCAATAATTGAATTCGCCAGTGAAGCAAACAAAAAAACATTGCCTATTTTAAGTCATACAACAACCATTGAAAGCGACATTTTGGATCTCCATATTTTCCAAATTACATGCCCCACAAAGGCCCCTCATGTCAGTATCTAGTCACAGCAATAGTCGCTGTTGCTGCTACCAGAGCTCTCAAGCGGCAAGCGGATAGGGTTTTAGAGTTTAATCTGGAATAAAATTCCAGGCAACGGTTAAAGTTTGTCCAATTTGGTCCAGTTTTGTTGTAGGATATGCAGGCTGTTGATTCGGCGAGTAATGGCCTACCCACATATTGTCTGTGTGGTTCAAATATGGCAATTTTGATGACCAAGGTAGCTGCTCATTCTATTGGTTCTGTAAGTTATCTGCTATTAATTGTTCCTAAAGTGCCCCCTATCAAATGATAGTCAAGTGATTCCCAGAGTATTCTGTTATTTGATCTGGTTCAGGTTTTCATCGATGATTTCCATTAGTGTTTTGGCACCAATGTGGTATCCACTCCAAAAAGTGACGATGGCAATGACCCTAGTCACTTCAGAAGTGGCACACGCCTTGTCGTCGGCCTCTTCAGGATGTCTAAAAACTCTACTTTGACCAGTTTAGCGGTACGGATGAAATCTGACCTCAATAAAGAAAGCCACGCGGTTTCAGTGTTCTACCCAGAAACGGTCCTGGTCCCCAATTCATTAGAGAAACAGACTACGATGTTTTGCTGTTTACAGTGGCTTCCTCAGAGGTCGCCTGATATCCTAAACTGCTGAAATCATTTTGGTGTTCGCTAAGAACCTTGAAAACCGCGTTTTGGTGACAATTTGCCCCTCATTCAAAACGGACTGGGTGGTTTTGGTTTAATTACAGCAGTATATCCTGAAGGACAGTGAGTCCTGTACCCTGCGGGTAAGATGTCGATGCATTGGGCGTGGTCGCTGTGCAGGTGCATCAGTCTGGGCATAACTCTATAAAACTGTGCAGACCATTCCGTTTAACACAATATCTGTCTGTCTTTCTCGCGCCATTCAGGCACAGCTTAACAATTTTATAAAACACTGCTTAACTCATTTTACGCACTGCAAAACCGACCGCTTGCATGCAAAATGTCAATTCTTCGATACAGTAGTGGCAGACACATGGAGACTTTTTTGCCAGACCATGCTTCATCAAAGCCAAGCTTTGACCAGCCCAAAGGAGCACTAGCCAATTAAATCACTGCATATTGCACAATGCAGCAGAGCAACAGTCTTGGTAGTCAGTTACTTGGTAGCGACACACCTGTCTTCATACTTCTTAAGTCAGATACCTTATGTGAGATCTAAGTAAAAAAAAAACGCATTTTTACCAAGGTATACCTTTAAAACTGAAATATTCCATATCAAATGTCAAGTCTGTAGTATGAGATACATTAATTTTGTTGCAGACTACACTACTTGTTGCAGCACTGGCGGATTCTGTGGTTTGTCGGGTAAACCCTGTCCAAGATTTTGACCCCTGTAATGATATGTCGTATGCTTCCTCTAAATTAAATGAATCTTATGGAAGGTGGAGTGTAAGTTTCCTTACATAAGTTTGTTGACATTATGAAAACGTCATCAGGATTGGTGTTCAGGTCAGATTGTTTTGTGTCATATATTAAAACATTGCGCTCTTCAGAAATTAAGTATTTGGAAATACGCGTCAAATACGCAGATATGTTACTGTTAATTATACTGTAAAATATTCATGAACATTACTAGCGGATATCTATTTTTTTAAGGATCCTGTTATCAATTTCGTGTAGATGTAATCTTGTTCACAACTGCAGCTGGCAGCAGTCTCTTCTAATTCCACTGTGATTTTGTACTAATGTTAAATGTTAATGTAATGAAAAATCGACATGAAGAGAAAATTAAGTTGTGATCGATGAGTCGATGCATTAATATCACGTTATAAATAATGGTAAAAATAAAAACTTATGAAGCACAAACCCCATTTCCAGTTGCTTTATTCACCACCCACTCGTTTCTGCACAGTCAATCGTCAATTCCGTTGCTTTATAAATTGGTGTGAGATAATGAACGGTGTACGACCGGAGCAAAGGCAGATGTTATCATGAAAATCTGTACGGTAGAAGACTACTACAGTAGGGTGTGTGTACTACATACATGTCAAAACGACGAGCCTCGGCTGCAAAGCCGATGGCCCCCCTTGGCGTGAAGTTCGGGGCCTGCTCAAAGGCCCCGAAAACGTTTTGGTGTTTTTGGAGGGCAAACGGTGCCCTTTGGTACGGTTTAGAACTATGATTCAGCTAATTAAAATGTCAATTTTAAGAGGGGAATATTGGTGTGATATATTTGTCAGGAACCGAAGGGGGGGGGGGGGGGGGGGGAGCGAGACCCCACTCTTAATCCGCCACTGCTGTACAATCCGGGGCCGGCGTTTGGTTCATTTTTAGAAGGAGATATAACAATATATCTTGATTGATGTGCTTAACATAGATATATGGGAGGTTTCATTCCTAAAAACGTTGCTGTTACGTCATCAGCTCGAGTTAGTAAATTTGCCCCAATGTACTTTTGATACAGGAGCACTGTCTCATGACATAACAATGTTGATTTCCGCATTAATGAAGCGGATAAGAGAAAAGTCACGTAGAGATCCACCTAAAAGTAACTATGGGGAAGGAAAAGTTCGTTGTCACCCAACCCTTAGCCGTGCCATTGCATTTCAATATCGTTGCGCCTATCTGACGTAATGTTTAGTATATATATATATCTGTAGACCAAATCCCGTCGGGCATAAATACAATATCTCACAGTTCAAAGTCGTGTGATATTTGCAAAGCGCGATAAAGATATGCGTATCGAGTCATAATTCAATAGAATATAGATTCAGTAAACCCCCTTTACACTGGACGGCGTCATTTCTGCGGCCATGAAACTGGCATCGCTGTGGTCGTAGAAAGGAGGCACAAACACAGCTTTGGTTGCGAAATGAATGCTCAATGATCGGTCAGTACAGTTGTCGGCACGTAAAATATTGATTTTTTTACTCCCAAATAGACCGTAAGTACAGGACGCAGAAAAGACGCCGTCCAGTGTAAAGAGGGTTTAATACCCCATTCCCATACCTGGATAAATCTAATAGAATCGATCCATCTCCGAAGGGTTTCTCGCTAAATTGCTTTTAGCTCAAACGGCTCTAATGTCTGGCACGCCTACTGAAGCTGCTAAACCATAGTTAATTACATCCTAACAGCTTCAGTAGGCATGCCAGACATCAGAGCCGCTTAAGCTGAAGGCAATTTAGCAAGAAATCCCTCGTAGATGGATCGATCCTGTTGGATTTATCAAGGTCTGGGAAAGGGGTCTTATGTAATGAGTCGCCATGTCCATTGACAACCCACTGATTGTGTCAAGGTCTCTTCTAATGGCGACGGGCGACTAGCCTTGAAAGATTTGTCGTGATCGAGTTGCAGTCTGTCTTGTGTTATTATTGTGTATTTTGTTTGTGACATCGCCCGAACTTTACATAAACGCTGATATCAGTTTATCGCGCCTTTATCTATCAATGCTCCTTTTGTTTCTTAAGTACTCGTATAATCACTTAACGCGAGAAGGAGGCGTGTTCATCACTTAACGTGACTGCATTCACAAGAGTGAATTGGGGTAGAAGTAGAATAGAATTCGGAGTTAGATCGATCTACGTACCTGTAGAACGATAGTTTCATTGGGTTTGAGCCCTAAGATAAAGTGAGAAGTAACCAACATATAAAACCGAAGATAACCTTTGTCTTCGCTTGTTTCACGTTGGAGCTGTTTATCAGTTAATGCAGAGTGGGTAAGTGATTTAAACTGTGCACAAAATACACATAACCGTAATTTAGTTTAATTCAGTGGTTCACCCTGTTAAATCGTAGTTAAATCTTAGCCATCTAAGCAAATTAACCCAGTCAAGCCAGAACGTTATTTTTACGTTAGGTAACCATAGCATTATATAACCAAAAAAACATTATGGAAAAGTTCTGGTAACGTTATAAAAAGTTCAGTGTTTGCTGAGAACCCTCTGTGGACCTTATCCCGTATTAGCCCCGAGGAGAGCAGGTCCCTAGGGATCCAAACCTCCATGTTTGACCATATTCTCATACCTAGATCGATCGAGCGGGTTCGGTCCGTCTCCGAGGAATTCTCGCTAAATTGCTTTCAGCTTAACAGGCTACGATGTCTGGCACACCCACTGAAGATGCTAAGCAACAGTTAATTACTTACACTTACAGCTTCAATAGGCGTGCCTGACATCTAAACCGCTTAAGGTGAAAGCAATTAAGCGACAAACCCCTCAGAGATGGAATGTGAATGGAGTCTTTAATCTACACTCATATCACTACCCACTTCTTGGATTCCAAATGCATCGGCGTTTGCCTCCTCCCAGTGTCCATTCTAGCTGTTAAGGATATGGACGTCCTTAGTACATGTAACAGCTGGAAGGCACTCTGGCAGAGTCTATATTTACCCTACCCTCTTTCACGGCCACAGATAAGTTTTTCACAAGATATTCACGGTTATGTCTGTGGCAAATTCATTGCACCTTCATATCCATAGCAAATTTATAGATGGAAAATTTAATTGCCATTATTTATAAGCTGGCCTCTAGTATATAGAACATTGCTACCCTAAAAGCACGAAGCGCACTTTAAGTGCTTTCGTGAATTTTACCCTGCTTTGAATTTTCAAGCACTTGTGGTTTTGTACTCAGTATGAAAGTCTTGATTGCCTGAACGAAAAAAAAAAACATAACTTCCTTAGCGATCCCATTTAACATGAATTATCACCATAGGAAAATAAAACATTCTCTGTAACTCCATTTTAGTACCAACCAATTCATCTCAAGCTTCAAATAGGAAAAAAAAACATGGAAGAGAAGAAAAAAGAGAGCGAGCAGGATTGTGACAAAAACGCCAAGGACTTTGAAAATATCTTGACGTTGATTGGAGAATTCGGGACGTACCAAAAACTGATCTTTGTCTTACTTGCGATAACCTGCATCCTGATGAGTGTAAACAATGCAGCCGTTGTCTTCATAGAGGACACGCCCAGCTTCAGGTAGTGTGTCTAATAGTGCCATTTTTATACCCATTCATAATATAAAAAATGTGGATAACTTGGAATATTGATATACTTGTCCTGAAAATGTGAGAAAATGTTCAATAGTTTTTGTAGAATGAATTCCTTTCGAGTTTTTAAAAGTCGGAAATTAAAGGGAATTGTGTTGTGACTTAAATTAAGTTGCCCTTGAAAATGAAGGCCGTAAAATCACAAACAGTACACTCTGTGTGTCAGAGTCGTGGTGAATGCGAGGGGTGGAAGGGGAGGGGGTAACTTCCTTCTCCTAGAGAACTGGGGGGAGGGGGTCTAGATTAAGTGTATATAAATCTTTTCCTTTCTCCTTGACATTCAGAAGCCTTTGAGAGCATTCAAAACCAGTTGATCCGTGGACTAACTAGTCAGCGGGTCAAACACGGCACCACCCACTCGAAACCGTGCAGGGATATAATAGCTCTGCTCCTGCTGGTGCGGCCCACGTGGCAGGCGGGGATCCATTGTTAGTCCGCGGATCAGCTGGTTCAGAATTCACCATTTCATTCCTCCGCTAGGAACCGCAGTCCGTTCCACATTACTTTGTACTAGTGGCATTCGTCCCATATACTAACCCCAATACTACAACTAGCCCTAACTTGTACTAATCATATGATATGGGAGCCCGGACTTCCGTTCCTAGGACTTCAATTCCTGTCACACCGTTACAAATAATATGATTTCATGTTGTGTACGCCTTCAATTACAGCTGCCCACCCCCTTCGCCCCTTCCCCTCCCCCCCCCCCAAAAAAAAAAAAACTTTTTCACAAAGGCGCTAGATGATATTGAAATCAATCAAACATATCGCGAGGACAACAGTGGGATACTTTACCAATTCTGATTTCAAGATGTAAGCTCCCAGGTCTTCCCAATGACACGTACGAAATCCAGGGAGAATGGCACCAGAGGATGATCAACATGTCGTTCATGAATGTCACTGATGACGAATGTACCGTACTTCACAATGTCAGCCACCACAACATCAGCCACCACAATGTCAATCAAAGTGACAGTGTGGCGGGAAAATGTACAGAATGGGTGTATGACAACACCGATATGACATATTCCTATCCAATGCAGGTTTGTGAATTTTTTCTTTAGCTCTTTATTTTTCGTTTTCAAGTACGAATAACATCATAGATAAAAACATGACACTAGATTTCGTGCCTGACACACTAATAAAGGTTGCCACAAACACTCTAGATTTTTAACATTTACTAAAATGATTGGTGGATCTAGCTAGAATGGCCCCATTTGTACTGAGGTACTCCCCTCGCCCCCTCCAAAAAGGGAATGATTTTGAAATAGCGCATAACAAGAAAAATAAGAAAAAAATCTTTATGACATCCATAAAAGGTTTATGCACACATAGTTTGATCTCGTATTTCTTTTTAAAAACTATACTTCCACTCCCCCCTGCAAGTTCTGGATCCGCTCGTGGCTTGTATGCCTTTGTGGAAACAACTGTTCTGCACCCGTTCGACACGTAGAATACCATGTGATTTATTTATTTATTTATTTATTTATTTTGTTTAGTTCAGTCTAGTTTGTGATGACTCGACCAAGTTGACCAATTCCTACATTGCCAACACGTTAGGATTTCTGGTGGGAGGACCAATAATGGGTGTATTATCAGACGCGTGAGTTTCATTCATTATCCGTGTGATAGAACTCATTTCCAATGAAGCTATCGTTCTACTGAGATCGATCCAACTCCGCGGGGACTCACGCTGAATGCAGTCAGATGAACAGATTAACACGTCTCCTCCTGGAGTTTCAAATAGAATACAGGAATGTTACAATATACGAGTCAGTTGGAAAGAAGAGGAGGCCCGTTGATCTGTTAACCTGGTTGCATTCAGCGGAGTCCCAGAAGAGTTGGATCGATTCAAGTAGAACGTCAGTTTCAGTGAGAATGAGCCATAGTAAGATTACTATAAGAACGAGGTTTTAGGATGTATACACGTAAAAGGCGTATCCACGTGTAAAGCACGCCTGTCACGGATTTTGGAACTAAATATCAGTGTGGGTATCTTTTGATAGTACATGTAAAACAGAATGTAGTTTTCCGTCTGCCTCATGTCATTTCCCTTCTGTTTTTCATGTAGCAGTGAGTTTTTCAAGAAGCTTTGAAAGTGTAATTAATATTGCTGTTGCCTGCGTGATTTGGCTATTGTTATGGTAATTAATTACCTCCGCCAAGGAGGTTATGTTTTCACCCCTGTTTGTCTGTTTGTTTGTTTGTTTGTTATCAGCATAACACAAAAAGTTATGGACCGATTTTGATGAAATTTTCAGGAACTGTCAGAAGTGGGCCAAGGAAGAGATGATTTGTTTTGGGTGGTGATCCGGATCAATTATCAATCAATTATCAATAATAAAAAAATCGCTGCCTTGGCGGAGGTCTGCGCTCTCGGAGTGCTTTTCTAGTTCAGCTTGTAGCCAGCAGTTAATAGTTTATCTTCATCTTCTATGTGGCTTCATCTACTAAGTGACATTCTTATACATGTATGGTAAAAAGAAACACATCTCCACTGCATTAATTATTTTACCATCACTTTCTATATTGTCCAGGTCTCATAGTTAAAAATGACTTGTTATAAAAAAATTTAATGGATATTCGAAAGGATGTGGCGTAAATTTATTCTTAAATCTTATCAATGTAATTAAGTGCTGGAAGAAAGCCCTCCCTGCTGCTTGGGGTGAGCATCACAGGCGTGGCTGGGATAGTTTGGGCCTTCTCACCAACCTATCTGTGGAGCATAGCGATGCGGTTCTTGTGTGGCTTTGGGTCGACCGTCATATACAGTCTATCTGGAACAATGGGTAGGTTGCTTTGTTTGGGTACTTTTTTTAAAAGGAAATGAATATATAGCCTGAACTGGGGGTGGGCGGGGATTAATGAAACAGACGCTTCTTATTCGTTTATGAATTACAATTTATTTATGGAGGGTAAAAATATGGGGAATCTAAAATTTATCTTCCTATTGGTCCTCATGGGGTTAAAAGTAAATAAATAAATAAATGAGTAGATAAATAAAGCCAACAATACTATGTTTAAACTATTCAAAAGTAAAACTATAAAAATTTTGGGGATACTCCTATCAGTTTATGGTATCTAGGAATTAAGATCCACATTATGTACACTAGTGCGAGTTGTTTCTTTTTGAATTAAAACTCTTAATAAAATTATTTAATTCAACTTGCGTCTGAAAAAAAAAAAAAAAAAAAAAAAAACATGTCCCTCAGTGTAACCTGGCTCCGTTTCAGCACTGGAGATGGCGGGTCCCAACAAAAGGATGGCGGTAGGTAACGCATTGGCGATTACTTATGCAGGGGCCGGGGTGCTTGGTGTAGGGATAGCCTACTTCCTGCGAGACTGGCGCCATCTAGTGTTAGCTGTGACAGCACCATATCTATTACTGGCAGCTGTGATGTTTTGGTAGGTTATGCTTTATCTGAAGAAATCAAAATTATATAAGCATAATTTCTTATGCGTGATGTACTAGTAAGTAATATTTTACAATAAAAGCTAAAATGAAAAATACTTTTTGAGATATGGTGGTTTCATAAATGATGTTCTTTATTATAAAGAATGATCATATTCCTCCAGTAAAAATAATATTCACACATTGTACGAAACCTTTTTTCGTCCCTACGGCCCCGTGGTGACATAATTAAATAAATTACATGTATTTTGCAGCCTGCTTCCTGAGTCTCCAAGGTGGTTACTGACCAAAGGGCGCCATGCAGAGGCAGAAGTAATTTTAAGACGCGCCGCAAGGATGAACGGGTTTGTCTTTCCCCGGAACCTCATAGAAAAGGTAGAGGTCAACGAACCTGCAACTTCAAGTGCCCGAGCTTTACTGCGTGCTCCCAAACTGGTGGTCAAAATGCTGCTTATCTACATCAATTGGTATGTAGGTAATGGCAGAAACAAGGGGGTGGGCGGGGTGGTGGGTGGTGGGTGAGGGGTGCCGTGGGTCATCTGGCACTTAAATTTTGCTTCGACCATGCTTCAACCGGCTCCTTTTCTTTCCAGGATACAGGCCTACCAAACTACCAGACTCGCCACATAAGGATCCTGAGTTAACCGGGTTTTCGGACCACGCTACCCCTTTTCAAGGTGTGTGTCAGATCGCATTTCGGAGTATCATACCCCAGAACAATTTTTGTAGGACGACCGCGGGCTCATCCTGTCGGTGTTCTGACTGATACTCCGAAATGCGATCTGACACACACCTTGAAAACAGGTAGTGTGGTCCGATATACCGGTTAATTCAGGATCCTTATGTGCCGAGTCTGGTAGTTGGGTAGGCCTGAGGATAGCAACATAACAACCCAAATTTTTCCGCGCACTCGTTAGTTCCAAGTAAAATGTCCTCGTTGGTTATTTGATATGTTTCGATTACAAGATATATATTTTATCATATCTTTATAATATATAAATATATTATATATATATATATAATACCAGTATATTTAAAAGTAAAAATATAGAATTATAAAGATATAATAAAATATCCCGTTCCAAAGAAAAATCCCAGGTACACCAATTTTGGTATGCTTTTAGAGGCAAAACTGACAAGCCGTCAGACAATCAGAAACAGGTACAGACGGAGAGGTGGTAAGAGTTTGCATTATAGTGGGTAGTAAGGCAAATGGGCAGTAAATGAGTTGGCCGAAAGTAGAAACGCGTAGGCAATAAGACGAAGAGTCGATAATCAAATAAGCTAGAACAAAAAAATGACATTCTAACATATGATCTGTTAATGCTTCCCTTGTGGTCGTTTTGCGAGTGCACAAATAATCTCTCCCATACCGATCTGACGACAGGATATGATGAATATCATATAGACTGTACGCTTTTTAAGAAAAAAAGGATTATTTCTACATTGTCACTCCTGTTTCTCGGTATATATATTCTTTTTATTTACAGTGTTGTCTTGGACATGACGTATTATGGGATAAATCTTCACGCTGGCAACATGGCCGGAAATCTCTACCTCAACGTCCTTCTCCTGTCTGTAGTTGAGTTACCGGCGTATGCATTGTGTTTCACTATCGACAGATTTGGAAGGAAGAAAGTATACATTATGTGTATGGTAGTGGGGGGGCTGGCATGTCTTTCGTCTCTCCTCGTGCACCAATACGCAGACAATGGTAAGAGATGTCTAAGACTGGGTTCCCACAGATTTAGATCGATTCATCTAGATCGACCTAACTCCCTGGGGGTTCACGCTTAATTGCTGTCAGCCGAGCGCGCACGGCAGCTAATTACCCCCTTACAGCTTTTAGAAGGTGGGTCAGACATTTAAGCCGGCTAATCTGATAGCAATCTTGTGAGACATCCCACGGGATACGATCTTAAATCTGTGGGAATGCAGTCTTAAGCTATTTCTGCTATGGTTATTGATTTCTAACATGAAAGATACAGTAGAAGAACAATGTACAGGGAGGTCCATATTTCCAATTTAGATGAAAAGCAAAATAGATCGGTTTTTATGGGCCACCCTGTGCATAATATATCGTAAGTAAGAGAGATTCAAAGTTGGTGCACGAACAATCACAAAACCTATAAAAAGGTTAAAGATATACCATCTTTCATCGACATCCTAATTTAGCAGTGCAAACTTTGAAGCAGCTATCTTGTACATTTGTAATTTAGACTTTTAGTTTATAAATATATATATATATATATTTTTATTCTTATTTTGATTATTAAAAACATCACGTTGTATAAGAATAAATCAAAGGTGTTGGTTGAAACTATATCGGTAGTTCTTGTTAATAGGGAAGATGATATGCAATAACGTTATATGTGTTGCATTAATTTTTTGCAGATTTGGAATCTACTAATTATATCAAGATAGCTCTTTCCACGGTTGGCAAGTTTGGTGTCGCTGCGGGCTATAATATCGTATATATTTGGAGTATCGAAATATTTCCTACTGTCGTCCGAAACTTAAGTCTGGGTCTGGCTATAGTTTCTGCCAGTTTTGGAACCATTTTGGCCCCAGTCATTGTGGTAAGTAAAATTTGACGTAGTGGCTTAGGGATCATCCGCTTTATCATAATTTTTCCAAGTCTACAAAGCGTAGACCATGGACAAAATAACCATGGTAATTTTGTCCATGCGTAGACTTTTTCCAGACCTCTCTCTCTCTCTCTTCTGAGCGTACAAGGTGAAAAGCTAAATGCGATGGCCTTTGACAGGAATCAGTATCATCATTTTTAAAAATATATATTTTCAAAAGTGTACATAGGACATTAACACCCCACCCCCAGCGAAAAATGTGAAAGTGATGATAAAACTGATGGCCCAAACAAGCATTCTTTTACGATCATCTAATTTGTTCATTAATCATTTTGTTCAGTTTTTTAATCTTTTCTATGTAAATATATATTTTTATCATTTTAATTTTTTTATTCAGAGAGAAATTAAAGTTGAGAGTATTGGAAAGGACACTCTGCCGCTTGTGATATTTGGAGCCGCGGCCATATTTGGCTCAATGTGTACGATTCCTTTGCCGGAGACAGCAAAGAAAGACCTTCCTGAAACGGTGGAAGACGCCAATAGTTTTAAGTAGTAAGTTATATTTATGGGGTTAAAGTGAAGGTATTTAACTCTCCGGTCCCCCTTTTATTGGTACATACTTAAACTGCCCTAAGACACTTTCATTTTCGATTCCAACATTATTGTTGGCAATAAATGAATTGTATATATATGTATACAGAGAGAGAGAGAGAGAGAGAGAGAGAGAGAGAGAGAGAGAGACTAAAACTCAAAAACATACAGTACATATATATAATATATCAGTATAATATAATATATAAGTTACTATTTCAATATTTTTCAGCCGCCGGCCACACGGCGGGTGTAGACAAGTACAGCTGGTGCCGCCTACCGTAGATGAGACTGCTGCGTTGTGAGGAAACCACGTATGCGTGATCCAGCAAACAATGCGAATTAAGATTCCCACCCGGATTGTGGAACAGCCCACGATAATGAACAATTTTGGATTAGCATTGGCGTCAAACAATCGTCCATACCGTGTGGTTTATTAGTGTTTAAAAGTTTGAAAGAGACAAACTGAATAATTAATGACAAATAACAACAGAGCGTTAGTTTTGATTTTCTGCAGCAAAGACACAAATGTAAGAACTGACGCAGAGGTGCTCTCTGATAAAAGTTACATCTTGTATGCATTTTTGAGGGGGGGGGGGGTTCTCTCAAATAACAACCAATGAATAGGTAAATAAATCTCAGCTCAACTCAAATAAATAAATAAATATAATCTTTTATAATTACCTGTATTTCGGAAAGCATTGTCGGTGCTTTCCATATGATTAAAGGTCACAGATGGAAATTAACCCATCCATTTTGCTTGTATGGAAGAAAATGGCAATATTTTACTCATTTTCACCAAACTTGGACAGTTTGTTTGCTCATTCATGTATGTTGTTGCTAAAGAAAATGTGCCCACATCTGAGTGATTTCTGGGTTTTAGAAAAATCCTTCTACTGATCAAAGTCGAAAAACTTACCAGGAGCTAAACTATATGGTCATGCACTGTACTGGAAAAAAGTCAACATAATTCATGTAGCCTATAATAATAACAATAACAATTACATAATTACGAATGTGACGCTTATCGATCGGTGAAGATATGTCACGTGAAGGTGTATTATCCCTGCTTCGAGTCAATGAATCCCCGAGAGACCTCACCCAAAGTCAATATTTGTATATAAACCTAAAAAATACTGTGATTTGCAGCTGCAAGGTGGAGAGTTTACACAGAACGTGCCGAAGGTTTGGGTCAAGGTCATGTTAACCAGCCGTCAAAAAAGAACTAGGCGGATAAACAACTGACATAATAAACCTTTTCACGTGTTTGAATAAAGGCATTTCTGATTCGGCTATTGTCACACGGCCAATGCATTGCTGATCTAATTCGACCCTTTTTCGCATGCAAATATTGACCCGAAATCAACTGGGTCGTTTTCGGCTCAGGTAACGATTTTTGTATGAGCGCTGTGGTTAAAAAAAGATCTGTATTGAAAGAGATTGCGTTGAAGTGTTGCCAACACCCAGTTCTCACGCATGATGTGGCGCAAGTCGAAAGTGATCGTCGATTAACTTGCAGCTTTCGGCGGATAATCTTCAGGTAAGATGAAAGATCATAAATGTGTCTAAGTTAAGACGCCTGAACGTCTCTTTAACCAAGCGAACCTCGAACCTCAGGGTTCGATGCGATCTGTTTCTGCCATTATGGGCTTGTATAGAATGGCAGTAGGGGAGATTATGAGATCCCCCCAAGCACAGGAACGTCTATCCATGTTAAACATAGTTGACAGTTGACATGCGTCGTTTGGATGGAGACAGGTGGGGTGCGTGAAGGAGAGGGGTGAAAAACACCTCTTTTGATTTGAAATGCTTTGTTCTTAATTAAATTGTGATCTACATTTTATGTCATTAGTCAAGCTAGGTCAACTGAAGGAGTAAAAAGATCCATTTTATTAAAAAAAGCCCCTTTGAAATAGCTGGCTACAGGCATGGGTCGATGATTGTTTAACTTCTTCATAGTGGTGTCTAACCATGTAGTCAACAGTTATTACCACATGTTGACTGAATAATTTGTCAAACAAAATTTTAGTGTATTTTCTCCTTCGGCGTCGTTTTGTTCTCTTCTTTCCATCTAAGAGTGCGTTTAATGTGCATTAATGGACGCAGTAGGGTACCTGGCTAATGTTACAATGACGCTTATAAAAAGCTGGTGGGGGGGGGGGGCTATGATTGTAAAAAGTAAGGGTTAAAAAATTCAAAGCATTTCGGGAGGGTCAATAAAACATCTCTGCCATAGATTAACATACTAGTAAACACACTGGTTTATTCAAGCAGAAACGTTTCTTGGAAAAGAGGAGGGGGGGGGGGGGGCATTTAACCCCCTCCTGGACCGCCAGTGTAAGGTTAACTTGCTGTGTTACAAACTTTAACCGTCGTCGTCTAGGGTGCGACTGGAGTTTTCGACGGCCAGGAACTGAACACACCCTGTTAGTGGATATAATTAAATCAGACCCGTGCCGTCACCACTGGGGTTTTCGCAGAAACTCAATGGGTCAGTCAAAAGAACGAAAATTATAAGCTAGGACCGCGCACAATCACATGGTCACTTATAGATACCAAAGATCCGGGTAGGGAAAAACCAGGTCACTGTAGTCAGGTAGGTGATCGCCTATTGAAAAAATGACCCCTGTTATCCACGTCGTATCATTGTTCAGTCTGTCATCGGTGTCATGATCACGACTGGCACAGGTAAATGTGACTTCAGCTTTAAATTTGGTTTCTTAGACTGTCGTAGGATCTCAAGGTTTTGACTTTATTTGAGACTTTGGTCTTGGACAAATTTGTCCAAGTTTTAGTTGGTAGGTAATTAGTCCAAATTTAACAATGACTTTTGTTAGTCAAGTTAATTGAAGCACCGTGTAGATAATTTGTTTTATCTATTAATGTTTTCATTTAATAATTTATATTTTTGCAAACAGAAAAAACTAGCTACTATGACTAGTGTACGTCCTATTTCTCTACTGTCTTTAATATTATTCACTGCGTCAGGTATCTTTTGTTATATAAGGTACCACGTGTAGTCTAGTGCCCGCATTGGAAGAATTTGAAAAACACTATTCACTTTGGTTCAGAATATAATTTCAAGTTCCGAGATGGACTCTTTTTTGTGGTTTGTATAAGTCATGACGTAAACATTGAGTCGGTATTCGTCGTAAAAAGAAAAAGAAAACAACCTTTGCGATATTTGAGATCGTACAAGGTACAGCTTTTAGAATGACTGAAAAATGTGCTGTTGACACTGAACACGGAAAAAAATATCAAAAAGCAATGAATATCATTATCTGGGCTTATTGTGCTACCTTTAGTGAATATCTTCTACTATGAAGACATATATGAGAAATGTCAATAAATTTGAGAAATGAAATTGAGAGAAAAAAATAAAGAACGCGATGAAAAGTTGGATTACATACTTAAATGCGTTCATTGCGTAGGGCCAAAGACGAAAAATTGTCAGTAAAAGACAAATCACTATTACTTGACAGAAATATCTCCTCTGTTTCTTCATGTTCAAATGCCTTACAAAGCTGTCTTTTAACTTTTTTCTTTTTTGCGTGTGTGAAAAAGAAATGTTACTCCTATTGTATAATACAATAAAAATCCAAACAGAGATGATCCTCGCGTGGCAACAGTAGCGACGTTCTCTTTTGTTATGCTCACCATACGATCACCTTTGAGTTCTAAGGTCAGTCTACAAGTCAGTATCCTATACAATGAGTTACAGGTGAAGAAATGGCTATTTTGTTGTAATGTGCTCGAAGGAGGACAGGGTGGAGTCGTTACAGGGCCAAGAATAACATCCCCATCCAGGCAGCTCGGCAAGTTTACATACAAGAGCCAGTAAAATGATCCCTGCCCCCCCCCCCCAATGTGATCCCACCTTCGGGCCCCTTTACATATATATTTTTTCTTCAACATTTCAGGGCAAAGCTACAGGTTAACAGCAACGTTCCTTAGGGAGTAATCCCTAACATCATTACCTGGGATTCCAAGGTTTTAACTCTATAAAACAACTTTAAGGAAACCGTAGCGTCGCCATGCCTTCCAAGAAGGGGTCACGTCGCGAATCAAGGGTAAGTGCAGTTTGGCATTGGAATTAAATCTAAGCTGTTTTTTAAAACTAAGTAAATAGCTTTGTTTCCCATCGATGAAGGTAATCCCTACAAGGCCGTTTTATGTGTGTATGTGTGTGTATGTGTGTGTGTATGTGTGAGTGTGTNTGTGTATGTGTATGTGTATGTGTGTGTATGTGTGTATATGTATGTGTGTATGTGTATGTGTGTGTGTGTATATGTGTGTGTGTATATGTGTATGTGTGTGTGTGTGAAGCCGGGGTCAGGTTAGAATAATAACACGCCTCCTCCAGGCGTTGAGTGGAGTACAGAGAAGTTGGTATTATACGAGTACTTTGGAAATAAAAGGAAGCTTGTAAGTCTGTTAATCTGATTGCATTTTGCGAGAGTCTCCGTGGAGTTGGTGCGCATTAGCACATTTTGAACTAGTTACGAACGACTCTTAGTTTACACTTGGACATAATAGCGTAATTTTGTCCATGGTCTACACCTTCATATATCAGTCCTTTTTTATCTTAATCCTTTCACAGTGCACGATTGTGCAAGCCTAATAGAATGCAATATGACCTCATTTTTTATACCTGCGTAATCTGTCTCGTTTTCAAAAGAATTTAAATCGAAAGCTCGCCTTTACTTTGTATTCAGTCAAGCGGGAATGTCACCTTTCAGTATATTTACCTATTCCCTCGTCTCACCGACAAAAGGAGTCTTAAGTAATAATAAAAGATATTTATAGTAAAAACAGTAGATTATTTCATGGCGCATTCCAAAAAATCTCAATGCGCAGTACAGAATATCTAAAATCATCTGATGACAAAAAAGTAAAAGACAAGGACATAGAACTAGCACACACAAACAGAAAAAAACTATCATAACAAAAATATACTCTGAATAGACTTATGAAAATGATGATAAAAATTATGTCTTTATTCATTGTTGATATCTCAAACACGTTAAGACTATAGTAATAAGTAGGCCTGTACTCGAAGAGGGGTTTTAATTTTTTTTTTTTTTGAAATATGGACTTTTTACCCCTTTATACATAGTTATGAAATGACATAGATCCCAATTCAAATTTCGATTTAGAGCAAACCTTTTACATACAAAAGGGACGTTCTTTCGACCCCATCCCCTAGCCCCGCTGCTTCGGGTCTGCCGAATTGGTTGGTTGAGCCTCAAGTAATAGTCGACTAAGTTCAGATGTGTATCTAGTTGACTAATCTTTTATGTACGTGTAGAGACGTACCTGTGTTGAGGCCTACTAGTCTCTTCTTGGAAAGGGAGTGATATGCTATTTATGTCAAGGTGTGTGGAGTGCTTTATTCAAAACCACTGACAATAAGGGTTTACATTTTGACAAGCGGAATGATGGGCCACATATTCATTTTGGAAAATACCGTGAAAGCTCTGACGGAGGGTGGGGGTTGGGGGGGGGGGGGGCTGGAGTGGGTGTGTGGGGGGATCCGCTGTGAGAGGGGAGGGGCAAAGTGAGCCGCTTGACCGACTTTCCCTACCCTCTACCAGGGCGAGTGATAGATTTTTTACAGATATTCACAGATATGTCTCTAGCTAGATAGATGGTCATTTAGGGCTCAACTGAGTCATATCTGTGAATATCTGTAAAAAAATTATCACTCGCCCTGGTAGAACGTAGACTTTCCCTAGGTAATCTTTTCCCCCTTGTTCATCCCAAATAGCATTTCAAGCGAAACGTGGCAAAACGAACCACAATGTCTACTCCTTTGCCCGACATAGGTGCTCGTAATACACTGAAATTGTCGAGCGCAGAGGCTCCGTTTAGGTGACATTCTTATCTAATTGTTTTACTATTGAATTGTCAGTCTCTCAAAGTGTGCCAATATATAGTGTATCGCTAAACTATACCACTCAAATAAAAAGAAGGTCTTTAAAATCGCTATTTACTATTGTCATAGCGCTGTCTACATTAATACATGTAATAACTCCGAGATATACTCGTAGGGGGTTAGATATATAAATGGAAATTAAAAAAAGCAAGTCATCGATTTACAATATCCCCAACAATGACCCGAAAATCCAGCCAATCTACCCTTTACATAATTTTGACATTTCTTTTCAAGACAGTCAACCGAAAAGTGTTTTGGAAGGAAAATAGAGCACGCAAAATTGCAATCAATTTTGCATTTTTTATATATATATTTTGAAGTAGTTTGCACAGCGCTGGAGGCTGGGCAGTTTGTGTGGTTATAAAAGAACTGTATCAAATGGTTGAGGAAATAATGTGACTTTTGCAAATGTAGAAGAGGCCTTTTAAAATTGTTCTATATGGTATTGTCAAGTGTACATGTATAAATAAACTGAAAAAACTTTATAAACAGAAATAACTATAAAAAAAGAGAAAGATGACTTCGGAATTTGAGAGAATGTAAGGAGTTAGGAATTATAAAGAAACAGCGAAGTAAAACTTTCACCTGGCCGTCTTTCTTGACTCCTTACACTAGTTTGCATTCATATGTAGCAGAGCTTTGATAAACGTAAAAAACATTCAATTATGACCCTGTTGTAAAATCTTTTACACTCCCATTACTTCATTTCCTGAAAATCTATTTTCATCAAAGTGCACATTTTGATACGTCCATATTTTTTTAATAAAAAAAAAAATAAATAAACATAAAAATATGAGGACTCTCCATGGAATAAATTCCAAAAGTCGGTGCTCGTATCGTCCGTCATACTTGGTACGTGTATATCCATTCTTTTTAAGTTTCTAATTTTCTTTAAATTATCATTTCACACAGGGTCGTCCAGATCAATATGCCTACAACTCCCCTTTCTATGACGCTTGGGGTGAAGCGTATTCCACCGCAGGACGTAGTAACACAAGACGTCTTCCGGCACTGGCCTACTACAACGAAGACCCGTACAGACGGACTCCAGCTTCCTTGTTCATTCCGTCCAATGCCTCAACAGATAGTTACGACGAAGTCTGGGAAAGATCTAAGAAGGGGAAGACGAAAAGGCGCTCTTGTAGCGGAAGAATGGTTGTCCTGATATTTTTTGTGGCCCTGGTACTCATAGGTGTGACAGCTGCTGCAATTGTGTTTGCAAGTGAGTATCCGTTTTTTTCTCTCGTAACGGATAACAAAACAGACAGCGGACGTTCGTGTAATAGCGGATAGGGGTCAACCAGTTTCTGTCTCTGTTGTCTCATAACTATAGATCCTGACAGGATTTTTTTAACTTTAAGACAATAATTTTAAGACAAGTTAATTTCTTGACGTCTTGTCTTAAATAATTTACAATTTTTTATCCTTTAAACTGTGTTTTTTAATGTCGAAACTCAATTTTACCAATATATTTGAAATTCATGAATGTTTACATGTGCACGGTCATCAATAATATTTTCTTTGTATCATTCTCAGCTCAAAGTGATATCCCATATACAGGATCGGGTAAGTGCATTGATTTATGTTGTAACTAATATTTACTTGCATGTCTGATGATCAGTGTATTTCTTTTTGAATATCCTCAAAAATTGAACTGATATAAGTATTGGTTACTTTACGTTTTCTGATCTACCACTACCTTTAAGAAATTTTGTCACTTGTGTATTTAACAGGGGACGATTATAGGAAAGATTTTAATATCAATGTAATCAAAAATTGTCATCGACATAATATTAGCTGTTGGAATGGATATTTGGGTACAATTGTAATACAAAAATAAGTGCATCCAGTTTTTAAAAAGAGCAATACCACATTTTTAGTTTATTAGGCAAAGTTTCATTTTTACTGTACTCTTCAAGCTATCATATCGATCAACAGTATGATTTGAACGTCAAATAATGAATTTGGTGTCCCCTTTAAATATGCCAATTTAAACGCACCTACAGTATTTTCGCAATGCAGGTCAAATGAACCTACAGACCGTAATGGTGCAGGGTATGATCAAGCCTAAGACTGCATTCCCATAGTTTTAGATCGATCCATCTAGATCGACCTAACTCCAGGTGGGTTCACGCTAAATTGCAGTCAGCCGAGCGCTCACGGTAGTTAATTACCCCCTTACAGCTTTTAGTAGGAGGGACTGACATTTAAGCCGGCTAAGCTGACATGCAGTAATCTAGTGAGACTCCCCACAGGGATAGATCGATCTAAAATCTGCGGGAATGGGGTCTAAGTTAATTATGATAACTATATTTCCAGTGTCCCCCCTCACCTTGACCGGGGAAATCACCTTGACCAATGTGGTCTTTACTGCGGCACACAACGACCCCTCATCGACCACCTACAGAGCGCTGGCCACCCAGATTTGTAACGGGGTACGTAGGGGTGGGTAGGTCGGGGATGGAGGGGGTGGGGGGAGAGCAACCGCATTTTGGTCGAGAAAAGACCCGCTCTTAATGAAAACGTTGATCTACGGCAGTCTCTGTGATAAAATGTTTCGCCGCCGTGAAAGGGTCCACCATTTTTTAAAGAAAGAACTCCTCCTTTAAAATAACTGGCTACAGTCCTGATACAACTGAGATAAACCCGCTTTGTACTAAAAGTAAAAGAGTTAATTGTCACGAGTGTCTATAATGCGAAATCTTGAAAATTTAAAGTCTAGAAAAACTATGTCTTATAAATTGTTATATAATTACAGCATATGCCATAATAAATATATAAAAATCTATAACTCTTTTATTCCATTTTAGGTTGCAGAAATTTACAAGGCCAGTGTGATGGCGAACATATATAAAAGCTGTACTGTGGACAGATTTAGGTACGTTGCACATATGTTTGGGCCGCATTGTAGTTATTTGTTCTTCTATGTTTATGTGCATACATGTATTTAGGCTGAACTGTAGACAGTTACAGAGTACGTTGCATATTTGGTTCTCACGTTTCGTTATTATAACTGGGAAATCGTTTTATTTTTTAGGCTACATTTGACTTAAAAGCTGTCATATCATTATTGAACATTTAATATATAATTATACGTGTGCGTGCACAAAGTTGAATTTTGAAGTGAAAAGGTGAGTGCATCGCACTCAAGATTACATCTCATAATTACAAATTGTCGCTTCTAACAACCGATTAAACGTTTAGAATAAGGAAAAATCTAATATATACACTGTATATATATTTGCTACTGCAACACTACCTTTTACCTACCCACAGGGCGGGCAGTGTGACAGCAGGGTTTACCGTAGGGTTTGATTCCACAAAGATTCGGAATCCTGGAATTAGTAAAACCCAGGCTGCAACTATTCTACACAAAGCTTTTGTCTACGATAACTTCGCTTTCTCTGGACTCCAGATAGACAAGGGAACATTGAAATTTGAAGGTACGTAAGTCATCTGCAGTTGCGTTCTGCTTCAATGTTGTTTCTGTTGTTGCCTGCTGTCTTACGGGTTGTTTTTGTAAAGTATATTAGACAATCTCTTCTTTTTTAATTCAGTACTCAACATTTCCTATTTAGCGTTCAATACAACAGAACCATAACTAAAAAGATTGCGACCCATTTAAAATTTCCAAAATGAACATGGGCTAAAATTAACAGGAATAGTGTTTTTATGACGAACTAAAATATATGTAAAGAGCAATATTAGAGTTAAAATGCAACGTGTTAGTAATTACTTAAATCTTTTTTCCATGTCACATGGATTATTTTTATAATGGTTGTACTAAAGAAGAAATGCTTTAGTGATATTTTAAGTGTGACAGAAAACAATCAGTTATGCTGGTATGAAAGTGAAAGTGGTATAGGCATCACTTCAAACGGTCATGGCACAGCTGTAATGTTATTTTCTGTCTTTTTAACTTATAATCGATTTAGATTATTATATCTCTTAAACATTGTTATCTGTAAACAATTTTATCTTAAGATAGTTTTTTTTGTGCTGTGAAGTCTTCTAAAGTCTTTATGGGTTTTACACTCTAGTAAATATATAATGTAATTATTATTATTATTATTATTATTATTATTATTATTATTATTATTTCAGTCCCTCCGGAAACAACTACAACATCTACTGCCACCCCAACTCCAACCACAACTACCACCACAACAACAACCACAACTACCACCACAGCAACTACAGCAACAACGCCTACTACAAGTACTGCAGCTACTACGACATCCGCGCCAACCACAGCAACTACACCTACTACAACTACTACACCCACTACAAGTACTACAGGTACTACAACATCTGCACCTACCACAGCAACTACACCTACTACAAGTACTACAGGTACTACAACATCTGCACCTACCACAGCAACTACACCTACTACAACTACTACACCCACTACAAGTACTACAGGTACTACATCCACGAATCAACCACCTACACTGAGTACCACAGTAGACACCACGTCAAGTGCCGTTAGTACTGCAGAACCTACAACTGCAGAATCTGCAACAACTGAGGTGACAACAACTGAGCTTCCACTTACCACAGAGGCACCGGAGCCAGAACAAGGTACATTTTTCTTGTTAATTGTTGTATGTATTGGCTTCCTGTTTATTACAAACTGACTATATTATTTCAGCAAAATGATTGATAAAGAATAGAGATAAAATNTCCGCGGGGGGGGGGGGGGCAAAGTGAGCCGCTTGACCGCTTGACCCTCTAAGTTATGAAAAGATAAATAAAGTTAAGTTGAATATAAACATTCAGATACGCAAATTGATGTTTTGTAGTTATTTTTTGGGCAGTTATTTATGTTCACTGGTTGTTGCAATTATAATCCTTAAATGAAATTTTCATTTTTTTTATCAGTCTTTCGGGACTTTAAAATACCAATGTCACTGTTCCAATTAAACATGCCATGTCGACATCCAACAATTCCATAGCAACATCACACTTCAACCGTTATTTTCTAAGAATTTCAGTTCAACAACCCATGTTTTCATGCCCCATATTTTCGTGTAAACGTATTGCATGTCAACTAGAAGCATTCTTGCTACACGTAGATAAAAACGTCAACTGTAGTGTCGATTGTACATGCAAATAATTGAAAACTTATGTGTAATTAAACGAAACAACTATAAACAAATGATGGCCAATATTTTTTTCAGTTGTAACAAACAACACAATGAAAATAGACTCTGAGTTCACGGCGGAGTTGACCAATACTTCCTCCCAGGAATACAAGAACTTCACTGAGGACTTCTGTAAAGAGGTGATAGTTTGTCATGTAGAATAATTAGGGCACATTCAGATCGGCCTAATTGCCTGACATGCCTGCTCGAGGGGGTAAATAAGCCGAGCGCACGCGTGAGTTAGTTACCCCCTAGCAGCTCGAGGAGACTTGTCAAGGAATAAAGCTGATCCCATTGATTGCATCTGAGTGATGGCAATTTTCGTTGTCAAACCGGAAAGACAGGAATGGTAGTAATCTATGGACCGTGGTCCTTCCTTTTCACTTTGTACAAGTGACATTTGTCTCATATACTACCAGTAATTCCAATACTCCGATTAACCCTAATTTGTACTAATCATACGGCCCGGGATCCCTGAATTTATTGCTAGGATAACCATTCCTGTTCCACCGGCTACCAGTACGACCATGCATCTGACAAGCGTATAAACTGAAATCGTTCTTATGTCACTCCTCGTTTTTACTTCCGATTGAGCGTCATTTCAAATTTCGTTTATATAATTCAAATATATTTGTAGTAATTATTTCTAAACAAAGACATGCTTTGCTGTATTATCTTTTCATTAATCTACAGAAGTACTTATTTTGTCAAGGTATGGCATGTAGTAATGCATTCTCAAGACCACAACATTAAAATATTCACACTAGTTTGTGTTTAGTATATGTATACATGTTAAGGGCAACTAAATAGATTGAACAGATAAAATTAACATTATAAAATTTGTTATGGATTAGATAGTGGCAGCATATAAGAATGGACCTCTAAATGAAAGTCAGCCAACATGTGAAGTAACAGAAGTAAGGTAAGTTTGAATTTTATTTATTTAATCACTTACATCACAGATTGTTAAAGATGGATATTAAGCAAGCACTCATGTCAAATAATTATGGGCACCAAGCCAAGACAAATGCCACCATAATGTTTCTCTCGCTTCAAATATACCTTTAACTTGAAATGTTTTGCTTTGCTTTTCTTTTTTTTTAATCAAACATCATAAAAAGAAGAAAGAAAGAAAAAGAAAAAAATCACATAATAACAATGATAATGAACACACTGTTTGCTTTATTGACCATACACCTTATTAGGTGTTGTGTTAAATATATATTCCTTAAGGAAAAGGTTCGTGAACTGAGCACATGCTTAAACATACCTATGAACGCACAATCACCATCTCACTCCACAGTTTGTTCTGAAGTAGTGATAGATTTTTTGACAATTTTGAGTAGGCCTACCTATGTTTAGCTCTTTCATTTATCTTTTTAAAGATTTTAAGGACGAAAAAGATTTTAAATGTCTTCCAAATGTCGCTGATCAATACGCACATTCTCCAACTATTATTTTATAAAACATATCATGATTTTTTTCATTTGATTATTATAGGAATGGAAGTTTATACGTCTTCTTCTTTATGGCATACCTTAAAGTAGAAGTTGTTGCCGTCGCTGAGACTATGTCTTATGCGGACAACACTACAGGGAATACGTCCACAATAGCCCCGCCACGGCCTACCTCGGTACGTACGCTAAAACTTTACCACAATCTTCTGTGGACCTTTGTCAAAATAAGATATTGCCTACTTCTGGTGAATTTGTTATACTTTGGGTGCAATATATTATGAAATACCCCCATGCATGCATAACAAGTCATTAAATACACTTTTACTTATACAAGTACTTGTATATCCCTCTCTCCACTGTCAGTTTCACTGTAAATTTGTATTGTATTTGGAACCAATGCTGAAGGACTCGTAGGAAGCCCATTTAAACCACTCAGTAACAAAATAGTGGTGCTGGTGGGGTTGACCCTGAACCCCCTGCTTTCTGTTGTAATGACTGATGTGTGATATGAGCTACCAATTAATATTCATGTAACATAATTTCTTATTTATTATTGAGGCACACGCTGACAGTGACTGCTCCTTAGGTATTCTACAGTTGAACCTGTATACTGCAAACCTACCGTGTAATTGTTATTACTTTGGTGGATATTACACATTTTTATTCTTGTTTTTTTTATTCATATTTAAAATAATCTGTTTTGAAAGCAGAGCATACCGTATGTGCAAATGAGGCAATAACTTTCTACCTTTTCTACAAAGCCAACAGTTCAATGTCTTTTTACCCAGAGTTCCTTTAAATATTAAAACTGTAAATGTCAAATTCCAGGTGAACGTGGTCCAATTATTGTTGCACCTTTTAGTTGTTGTAATCGAAGAGGTTCAGAAAGCCCCAGATGATGGCAAATCAGGCTTCAGTTTACTCAAAAAAGCACAAAAAGAGACTTTGAAGGTAGAAGGTACGGATTTGGCAATATTTGATACCCATGCTCATGCTAGTTCGATACCCATGCTAGTATTTCCATGGTTTAGTTATGGCTATAGACAGTAATTTTACATGTAAATATGCAATTTTGACAGTATACTTTCAAACGAATGTAATATGTGTGGGTATTTTATAAAGCAAACAAGAATTTGTCTGGTGATTTTTGCAATTTTGTACATACCTGTAAAATTTATTTGAAAGTGAAACAAAAAATAAAATTTAAAGGCAAAAATATTTATTTGAAAGGACCTCAGCCGTAACAAGGTCACCTTTTATCCCCTCTGAAAGAGAACCTGTTAAGTTGTCAAGGTAACACTTTATTTACCGTATGTTCATTTATATATTTACTAATTTATTTATTTCAGAGATCAATTATTGTCAGGAGGATCCCTGCCAAAACAACGCCACCTGTAAGAACATGAAAAAGAAGTACAGATGTGACTGCTTACCTGGATATAGAGGGAAGGACTGTGAAACAGGTATGAAAGCCATTTTATTGTCATCATCATAGTGGATGTCACTGTCTACTTCTTGTCACTGACACTGTCATCATTGAAGGTTTGGAGGACCACTCTACCTACTAGTACATGTACAGACCTAGCTGTTAAATTTTAACTAAATCATTTAACACTTTTCCTTGGTATCATTGATGGAAACGTCCACACCAGTTGTCTTCTAATAGGACTGAATTAGGAAAGCATATTTAGAGAAAATATGTGATGTTGTAAATTTTTCAGATGTCTCCATATAATATAAGTTTGATATGCAGGACAAGATCATTACTGTCCTTACCAGAACCTGATGCATTTAGGATAATAATAATAATAATAATAATAATAATAATAATAATAATATAGATAAATGATCACATCTTGTAGAATATATGGATTTCATCATATATGACATTTCAAAATTTTATTTGGACACCCTTTACCCGTGCTCTTTTTATCTATGCCCTGAGTGACATTGAGTGATTTTTTCTTTTTTTTTTACTTCATATTCAGAAATTGATGAATGCAGATCAAACCCATGCAAATATGGCGGTAACTGTACAGATATGATCAATGGGTTCCTGTGTCATTGTCTAGTGGGTTACTCTGGCGTGCAGTGCCAAATAAGACCTACAACTACAACTAGTACAACAACCAGTACGACGACAACAACTCCAGCTCAAACCAGTGATACAACTAGTACAACAGTGACAACAACTGGAACTCTAACAAGTAATACAACTAGTACAGCATCAACAACAACAGCAGCTACTACAAATACAGTCACAACAACGGGAACTACTATGTCTGGTATAAGACAGACCACCTCCGTCGGTACACTACCAACCACACCAACTGTTACTAGTACAAGACCGACCACCCAAACTGGTACAGGACCGACCACTCCACCTGGTACAGGGTCGACCACTCCACCTAGTACAAAACCAACCACCACACCTGGTACAGGGCTGACCACCCCACCTGGTACAGGGCCGACCACTCCACCTAGTACAAAACCGACCACCTCACCTGGTACAGGACCGACCACTCCACCTGGTACAGGGCCGACCACTCCACCTAGTACAAAACCGACCACTCCACCTGGTACAGGGCCGACCACCCCACCTGGTACAAAACCGTCCACCTCACCTGGTACAAGACCTACCACCACAATGGGTACAGGACCAACCACCCCACCTGGTACAAAACCAACCACCCCACCTGGTACAAAACCAACCACCCCAATTGGTAAGTGACTGACCACCCAATGCCAGTGTGACAAAACTGAGGTTAATGGAGAGTTTACCCTACATTTACTTTTAAAAATTAGGGTTAGCTTGACGTAAGTGGGTCAAGTTTTGGGGTTAAGCTTACCTATGCAAATTAGTGGTAACCGGACTCTAGCATTAGGGACTCTCTGTCATGTCACACTGGGTCAACTACTGGTATATTGGATATTTTCATAATAATTATACAATTTTTATGTCCTCTGTCTCACAGAATACTGTATACCAACTTTTTTTAAATGTGCACATTGTGATAAAGTAAAATGATGACTACTCCACCCTAAAAGCAAAAGTTGATAAGACAACTATTTTTATCATTGCAGGTGGTCTCAGAGAGTCCAAAGGGGAAACACCAGGTTAGTGAATGCATGGACTAAAGCAAGTGAATTGGTCACAGATAGCATACCACATTAATCCAATGAGGGGTCATTGTTGACCTTGATTAATCAAACCTTTATATAAAGGAAATGTTGTCTTCCATTGACCAACATTTAATAGAAACAGTGTTGACCTGTATGAAGAATTATGGAAATGATCTTGGGGACTGCATCATATTAGTGAAGCGTGATATATTTGCTCCAACTTTCCTCGCAATCCTTAAGTAACCTGATAATTGTTTTTTATTATAGGCTATAAAGTAACAACAGTGGCAACTTTTTCGCGACCGGCAAACTTCTCCAACGAATGCGTACAGGCCATTGAAAGTGCTACAAATTACTGGTTCCAGCAAAATGATATCAGTGTCAATATAACTAATCTTTCAAGAAGTATTTGTGACTCATACCACACACGAGTGGTATTTGAGGGACTTACCTTCACCATGGATGGAAATAAGGTAGGCAGTTATGACTCAATAAATATTGCAAAAATTTTCATATCAACATAGTATAATGTTCCAGTATTGATGCATATTCCCCCAAGAAAATTGGAATTTATTTAGTAAACATTATTTTTCATTTTATTTCATTAAAAACAAATAAAATATGAAAAAATAAAAGACAGTTAGTAAAAGATTTGGGTTGTTTGACAATATACAAAATTCATGCAGAGACAATGATAGAAAATGTATATATATTTTTAATGACTATAAAATTTTCTAAACACACAATTTAACACTCAAAATGAAGCCAGTTCACCAATACTAAGAATGTGTAACTATTATTTCTCCAGGTTTACCAGAAGATGAAGTTTGGTTATCACTTCTACAATATGACATTTCCAAAAGAAGTGTTGACAGCCAAAAAGGTTCGTGATTGTGGAAATAAAATCATGGAATACTTTGAAGCAAACCCTGCTCCTTACAATGTAACTGCAACCAGGAAATGCCCTGCTCTGGGTGCAACTGATGTCAGACACAATGGGACAGTGAGGTGTAGAATTGGAAAGGTGGTCAAAGAAGATGGTGATGAAAATGATGGAGTTTGTCTACCAGGTGAGTGTCTTTAACCACCTTTTACCATGTCTAAAATACCTATGAGCAATATCCTTGACCAAGGAAAGTCATTCTTGGTCCCATAATTATCCATTATTTGATTGATCAATTATTCTTGAGAAAATAAAGAAATCATTAACTGCCTCTCTATTTAGTGAGATTGTCACACATGTACTTTCACTCCTCGATTCAAAAAAGTAAATGTAGTTTTATTTCCTTGACTTATAAAGTATATGTCCTGCACTCAGTAAATAAAAAAATCCCTTGTTCAAGAGTCTTCAATGAAATCAATTGTTAATTTTTGTCATATTTTCTATAATTTCAGTTCCATCCAAAGTGCTAACACTCCAGTTTAATGTGACATCATCAGGAAATACATCAACACCCAAGAGCTGTTGGCAGTATTATAGCAACATCATGGATCAACGATTTGTAGCTTATTCTGTCAATCTTGGTGACTTGGTGAGACAGGCTTGTAACTCTGATGACTACACAATATTTAGACCTCCTGGTCTGCCAGTTGTGACTTGTCATTCTGTCACCTTAAATATGGTAAGTTACTTTTGAGGATACGCCGTAAATTGAGTCTGCTTGCAATTAAACATGATGAGTATGATATATTTTTCAGGTGTAAATAAAAGCACATGTATGTTTACCATGTTTCTGGAACTATGCTTTTTACTTTGATAATAGAATAGCATTTTTATTTAAGGGCTTCTGTCAAGTTAAAGGTGTACTAGTCCAACATAAAGATATTCCCAAGGATAAGTACATAGAGTGTGCACGCAACTTTTCTCTGGCATTTAAAGGTGATCTTCCCCTTGGGAAATTACTGGCAGGTGAGTTATGTTGACAGCTTTGATTATCTCCGATTGATATGTAAATAGGTAATTTAATCTTTAGTCAAATTAACAATGACTGCCCTTGAAATATAATTAGTTTAGTTACAGTCTCTCACATTGATATGCAAATGGGCAATACTGATATGTTTTTTCTGTTAAATAATGTATGGAGCTGAATTTGTGCTGAAATTAGAGATACGTCCCAGCAGGCAAACGACATTAATTCTACGTTGATCCACCAAAATTAACGTTGATTCAATGGTGAATCAGTGTCGTTTGTCTGCTGGGGTAGTACATGATTCCAAACATACAAAATAATCTGTCATAAGAAATACTTACACCCACTGGTCAGGCTGCCAAGTCTTTCGTAGATTGTGGATAGACTGACACCTGTATAAGGTAATGCAAAAATAAAATGCTCTACCACAAAAGATCTCTTCCATTTTCTAGGCATGAACAACCAGACCAATGGCTTCTGTCCAGATCTCAGTGGCTCTCTGTCTCAAATCTTGGACACTGAGGAGAAAATCTGTTATAATGAGGGATCAGATTATTCTGAGGATGAAGACAAATGTTACCCAGGTAGGTAATACTCTGTGGATAGAGACAAATGCAGTACCTGGTATTACCAAGGTAGATAATACCCTGTGGATAGAGACAAATGTTACCCATGTGTGTGTTTCATTGGTGTATATACATGTACATGTATAGCATTGTCATTTTCACTATATTAAAAAATTAACGTTTAAATTTCCATTTTCTAGGCATGAACAACCAGACCAATGGCTTCTGTCCAGATCTCAGTGGCTCTCTGTCTCAAATCTTGGACACTGAGGAGAAAATCTGTTATAATGAGGGATCAGATTACTCTGAGGATGAAGACAAATGTTACCCAGGTAGGTAATACTCTGTGGATAGAGAAAAATGTAGTACCTGGTATTACCAAGGTAGATAATACCCTGTGGATAGAGACAAATGTTACCCATGTGTGTGTTTCATTGGTGTATATACATGTACATGTATAGCATTGTCATTTTCACTATATTAAAAAATTAACGTTTAAATTTCCTAAAATACTGTTTTAGGCAGAATTAATATCTCTAAATATGAAGAACACTAATAGTTTTTTACTCAAATATAAGTTTAGTCTTGGTTCTGAGCAATTGTATTGATGGATCAATATGAAAGAATCCATAAAGCATATAGTTAAGTACATATTTATTTCAAAGTGTAGAACATTACTTGATAGCCTTAATGTGATCATTTCTCTTTGGTTTCAGCTGAACCCACACCCACTCCAAGTAAGTTGCACAACAATCTCATGCAAGAGTGTTTAGTATAATAATTATTTTAGATAGAGAACAGCCACATGTATTTTCATAAAAGTGCATTCAATTTAGTGTTAGTTCTATTTCAATTACTTTTGTTTCACAATAAAAGCCGTTAATTAATCAAAATTAGACGCAGAAGGGCAGAATACTAAAAGTCCTTAACTTTTATAGCCGTATTATTATTTTAGTTATGCAAATAAAAAGAAATCAGCAGTTGTTAGTTCAAACTGCAAAACTCATTCTATTTGAAGTTAAAAAAGACTAGTACAGGTATATATTGATTTAAAATCTTTCACATTGATTTCCATTTGACAGCTCCTTCACCTACACCCTCACCAGAGGGAGAAACACCAGGTAAATAATGCAGCAATATAAACCCAATAAATATACAAGATATAAATAGAGATGTTGCATGCTAGTCTTCCTTACATTAACTTTTTTAAATGTTAAGCCAACACATGGTCAAAGTTGACAAAAATGAAGTCTTTTAACCATGACCTTACTTGGCACACTGCTGGATGGGTGAGCCCTACTAAAGCTAAGGCAAGCTTTAACTCTGGACATTACATACAAATTTTTGTTGACATTGTGGATAGTTACGTTATTATCTCTGGATAAATTCTACATTGTTTAAGGGTAGTATGGTGGGGCTTTCAAAAATGAAGAACATGTCAAGGACTATTTACTGAGATATGGATGTGTGTCATGCCAACTGTTCATGTAACTGTGATATTTGTTCTGTTTATTACAGGATATAATGTAAAAACAGTGGTAACTTTCTCTCGACCTGCAAACTTCTCCAATGGATGCCTAACAATTGTTGAAGGTGGTTTATATTATTGGTTCCAACAAAATGACCTCAGTCCCAATATTACTGCACTTTCAATACCTCTCTGTGGGTATTACACACGTGTGGAATTTGAACAAGTTTCTTTGTCCATGGATATAAACAGGGTATGCAATAACAAAAAAATAAAAAAATACAATATAATGTTAATAAATAATAAAAATCTAATGATATTTGGAATGTTTGAGTAAAGGCCCAGTCACAAATCAGTTGCGATGCATCGGGGATGGGTAAAACCCGGGAAATTTGAACAAAATCTTGAGACAGATCTCACGATTTTGCACCCGTCGGAGGTGCTCTCCGGACGCCTGCGGGTTGTCGCAGATTTTTTAGACATCGCCACACCCGTCATGGTCCCCAACTTTCAACTTAAAATTTTAAGATTGCTCGCAACATTTTTCACCCATTTTGGGCATCCCAGACACAATCTCCGATGACCAAAATCTTGAGACAGATCTCACGATTTTGCACCCGTCGGAGGTGCTCTCCGGATGCCTGCGGGTTGTCGCAGATTTTTTAGACATCGCCACACCCGTCGCGGTCACCAACTTTCAACTTAAAATTTTAAGATTGCTCGCAAGATTTTTCACCCATTTTGGGCATCCCAGACACAATCTCCGATGACCTACGATGCCCTCCGATTAATCGGAGGCGTCCTCCGAATAATCTGTGACTAGTCGCAATATTCTGTGTGGGATTGGAAAATCAGGTTGAGATTCAGTGTCTGCGAGTAGTCTCCGGCGCCCAGCGACTGAATCGGAGGAGCCCTGCGACGATTCGTACGCTTTGTGTGATCGTCTCCGACAAATCGTACGGTGGAATCGTAGTAAATCGACGTGTATATAAGGGCGCCTCCGACCGGATTGCTAAAAGTTTGAGACGCTCTTGCTGCAGTGCATCATCGGAGATATAATCGGAGGCGATCGGAGGCTAATCCCACGATTTTTCGACAAAACCGGGTCAAAATCCTTGAAAAAATCTCAGACAATGTGACTGCTCCACTTTTATTAGGATTATTGCTAGGATTGTTCAAGGATTCTTTATTTTCTATGACGACCCCCGGCCAAAACTAATCCCCGACAGATCGCCGACATTGTGACTGCAGGCCTTAAGGACACAAACAGTTCAATTGTATGTTATGCATAAAGTCATAAAGTCACAGGTTGTATACAAGTCTTTAAAAACAAATTACAATTGAAATACAAAACATTTGCTTTACCACTTCAAATGAAGCTCTTTCATCTAATAGAAGAACCTATGGTTTTTTCCAGGTTCATCAGAAGATGAGCTTTGGTTACCATTTCTACCGTATGACCTTGGCAAAGGAAGTGTTGACAGCCAAACAGGTCCGTGATTGTGGAGATAAAATAATGGAATACCCTATTCCTCTCTCTGTCTACAATATAGTTCCAATTGGAGAGTGCTCTGCACTGGATGCAGCTGATGTCAGTAATACAGGGAAAGTGAGATGTAGACTGGGGAAGGTGCTAAGAGAAGTTGATGAAGATGATAATGAAGTTTGTCTTCCTGGTGAGAATTTTTTAAACATTTTTCTTGATAGCTACCTTTAACTACTGGTACCTTTTATTTTATCTTTGACTATTATCCCATACCTAGGGAAATGATACATCGTCAACAAAAGAAATAAGTTATACTTAAAATTTTATTTGGGGGAAAATATCATTAATTACCTCTCTTTTTAGTGAAATTCATTTTTTAAAAAATAACTTCAATTTTCAATTGAGAAAAGTGTATTACTGAGTATTTTACCCAATTTTCTTGATTCCAAAAGTATATCTCTCAAGAGAAAATCAATATGTCTACAAGCCTTCAAAACTTAATCAATTGACAGAGTTTTTCCATGCTGATCATTATTTCAGTTCCATCCAAAGTGCTAACACTCCAGTTCAATGTGACATCATCAGGAAACACATCAACACCCAAGGACTGCTGGCAGTATTATAGCAACATCATGAATCAACGATTTGTAGCTTATTCTGTCAATCTTGGTGACTTGATCAGACAGGCTTGTAACTCTGATGACTACACAATCACTGGACTTCCTAATCTGCCAGTTGTCACTTGTCACCCTGTTACCTCAAATATGGTAAGTTTCTTCCAATATAATTGGTCTGTCCATGTACTTTTTTGGAGTGTTCTTGAATAAGTTATGATGGTTCTACAGATGTAAAATGGCTACAAATTATTTGTTCTGAGATCATTATTTAATGTCATATTTTTGGAAACATTTGAAATAATATAATATAATATAATATATTTTAAAATTATAATATAATATAATATAATATAATATAATATAATATAATATAGGGATTCTGTCTAGTAAGAGGTGTACTAGTTCAGCATGAAGATATTCCCAGGAATAAATACATGGAGTGTGCACACAACTTTTCCCTGGTAATACAACAGGATCTGCCATTTGGAAAACTACTGGCAGGTGAGTCATGATAACTGTTACTTTTTTGGCATTTGTATGGAAAATGTGCAATAAGGTATTTAGCTAAATAGACATAGACTGTGATTGGGAAATAATGGTAGTGTAATTATGATGACAGCCTTAAATTCATTCCCTTTGGTTTGTAAATGGACACCGTTTTCAGCCAATTAATGCATGCCTCTGAATTTGCAAAAAAAAAAAAAAAAAGAAAGAAGTAAAATAATAATAATAATAACTTTAAAAGTAAAATGTCTTCAAACATGAAAATTATTATGCCCTCAAGTAGCACATAGTGATACATATTGCCAGTTCTAGGTTTTCAACTCGTCAGTAAATTTTGAATAGATTGCTGTCTGTTTAATATGTTACTGAATTGTTGTACCACGATAAATGCATATGTAATCCATTTCACAGGCATGAACAACCATACCTATGGCCACTGTCCAGATCTCAGTGGCTCTCCACCTCAAATATTGGACACTGATGAGAAGATCTGTTATGATCAGGACTCTGATTACTTTGAGGATAGTGACAAATGTTACCCAGGTAAAAGGCAAAAATATTAAATATCATATAGGGCACTCACATATATCTGCTATATGTTATGCAGACAAATGTTATCTAGGTAATTTATACATTGAGGATAAAGACAAATGTTACCCAGATAAGTAATTTACTGAAGATGAAGAAAAATGTCTCCCAGGTAGGTAATACTCTGAAGATGAAGGCAAATGTCACTGCGTGAGTGTTAACTGATGTATATTTATAACATCACATGTTCAGTTTTCACTTTATTTGAAAATAATGACAATTTTGACATAAATAATAGTATTTTTTTTGGAGAATGAACTCTCAAATGGAAGTTATTTTTCAAAGTTCTTTTTGGTCTTCATTCTTTACCATTTTATTGATGAATTTACTTAGAAACTGATTCTTTCTCAAAGCATACGACTGTACACAGATAAATTGCAAAGTGTAAGGCATTAGTTGTTAGATTGTTCATAGACACTTCTTTTTGGTTTCAGCTTACTCCACAAAATCAACCCCCACTCCAAGTAAGTGGCACAACAATTTTCATGTGAAAATTTACAGGATAATTATAGCTTTTGCCTAAAAGAATAGTCCCACATATATACATAAAGTTGGACCCAGTACATGTATATTACAGGCTATTGGTCTTGATTCTGAACAAATTTAATATCAAATTTCAAAACTGATTCTTAATCTTAAAGCATGTGGCTGTACACAGATTAATTTCTGGGTGTAAAAAAATAATTGCTTGATTTTTTCATTGACAATTCTCTTTGGTTCCAGCTTACTCCACAAAATTAACACCCTTCACAAGTAAGTGGCACAACAATGTCGAATGAGAGATTATATACACTAAAGTATATTTTTGGATGAAGAAAAGACACATACACTATACAATAAGTTGGATCCAGTTTAGAAACTCAATTTTAATTTACTATGCTTCACTAATAATCTATTACATAATGTTATTTAGCTTTATCAGAGGCAGAAAGAAAAATATCCAGTCATCATTTATAAAGTTGACATCCATACTTGAATTTAATTTGCAAATATATGCATATCTGCTGTTGGTATTTTAAAGCTGCAAAATTCGGATCATTTTGAGGCTGAAAAAATGAAATAGTACATGTTGTTTTAATAACTTTAAACCTTAATTTCTTTCAGCTCTTTCTCCTACACCAGAGGGAGAAACACCAGGTATAGTGCAGTAATATATTGGTCTTTCCATAAATATTCATTTACATTTTCTTTAAATTGTATCCAAATATGTTGAGTATTAACCATATAATTTTAAGTCAATTTATAATCAAAGTAAACAAAAATGAAGCCATGTGTCTTCTTACTTTCACCTCACCTGGTACACTATAATGAATTGGTTAATTATTGTAGAGGGTAGTTTGGGAGATCGAGTGCGGTGAGCAGACATCAAATTAATACAAGATTTTTATGTCCTTGTGTATAGTTATAATTGTCTCCCATTTGTTTCCTCAACGTTTAAGGGTATTATGATAGGACTATCAAAAAATAAACACTAGTAAGTATACTATCCCAAGGATTACTGTTTATTGAGATATGGATGTGTGTCATCCCAGCTGTATATGTTCATGTAACATAAATATTTATTCTGTTTATTACAGGATATAATGTAAAAACAGTGGTAACTTTCCCTCGGCCTGCAAACTTCTCCACTGGATGCCTAAGAATTGTTGAAGATGGTTTATATTATTGGTTCCAACAAAATGACCTCAGTGTCAATATTACTGAACTTTCAATAAATCTCTGTGGGTATTACACACGAGCGGAATTTGAGCAAGTTTCTTTGTCCATGGATAAAAATAGGGTATGCAATATTAATAAATAAATAATAAAATACAATATGTTTTTTGATAAAAATAAATATCTTAAGATATTTGGAATGTTTGAGTAAGGACACAAACAGTTCAATAGCATGTTATGCATAAAGTCATAAAGTCACAGGTTGTATACAAGTCTTTAAAAACAAATTACAAATGAAATGCAAAACATTTGCTTTACCACTTCAAATGAAGCTCTTTCATCTAGAAGAAGAACCTATGGTTTTTCCAGGTTCATCAGAAGATGAGCTTTGGTTACCACTTCTACCGTATGACCTTCGCAAAGGAAGTGTTGACAGCCAAACAGGTCCGTGATTGTGGAGATAAAATAATGGGATACTTTAAAGCTTACCCTGTTCCTCTCTCCGTCTACAATATAGTTCCAATTGGGAACTGCTCAGCACTGACTGCAGCTGATGTCAGTAATACAGGGACAGTGAGATGTACTATGGGGAAGGTACTGAGAGAAGTTGATGAAGATGATAATGAAGTTTGTCTACCTGGTGAGAAAATTTTTTTAACATTTCCCTTGATGGCCACCTTTAACCACTGGTACCTTTTATTTGGGGGAAAATATCATTAATTACCTCTCTACTTAGTGAAAATGATTCTTTTAAATTAATTTCAATTTTCAATTGAAAAAGGGTATTACCGAGTATTTTACCCAATTTTCCTGATTTTGAAAGTATATCTCTTATAAAAAAAAAAAAAAAAAAAAAAAAAAAAAAAACAGTATGTCTACAAGCCTTCAAAACTTAATCAATTGACAGAGTTTTCCATGTTAATTATCATTTCAGTTCCATCCAAAGTGCTAACACTCCAGTTCAATGTGACATCATCAGAAAACACGTCAACACCCAGGGACTGCTGGCAGTATTATAGCTACATCATGAATCAACGATTTGAATCTTATTCTGTTAATCTTGGTGACTTGGTCAGACAGGCTTGTAACTCTGATGATTACACAATCACTGGACTTCCTAATCTGCCAGTTGTCACTTGTCACCCTGTTACCTCAAATATGGTAAGTTTCTTCTAATATAATGAGACATTCCATGTGTTTTTGGAGTGTTCTTGAATAAGGTATGATGCTTCAAATAAAATTATTTGACAAAATTATTTGTTGCAAAGATCATTCTTTGATATTATATTTTTGGAAGCATTTTAAATTATAATATAATATAATATAATATAATATAATATAATATAATATAATATAATATAGGGATTCTGTCTAGTAAGAGGTGTACTAGTTCAGCATGAAGATATCCCCAGGAATAAATACATGGAGTGTGCACACAACTTTTCCCTGGTAATACAACAGGATCTGCCATTTGGAAAACTACTGGCGGGTGAGTCATGATAACTGTTACTTTTTTGGCATTTGTATGGAAAATGTGCAATAAGGTATTCAGCTAAGTAGACATAGACTGTGATTGGGAAATAATGGTAGTGTAATTATGATGACAGCCTTAAATTCATTCCCTTTGGTTCGTAAATGGACATGGTTTTCAACCAATTGATGCATGCCTCTGAATTTACAAATAATAATAATAATAATAATAATAATAATAATAAAGAAAGAAAGAAAGAAAGAAAGAAAGAAGTAAAATAATAATAATAATAATAACTTTAAAAGTAAAATGTCTTCAAACATGAAAATTATTATGCCCTCAAGTAGCACATAGTGATACATATTGCCAGTTCTAGGTTTTCAACTCTTTTTAGTAAATTTTGAATAGATTGCTGTCTGTTTAATATGTTACTGAATTGTTGTACCACAATAAATGCATATGTAATCCATTTCACAGGCATGAACAACCATACCTATGGCCACTGTCCAGATCTCAGTGGATCTCCACATCAAATATTGAGCACTGATGAGAAGATCTGTTATGATCAGGGCTCAGACTACTTTGAGGATAGTGACAAATGTTACCCAGGTAAAAGGCAAAAATATTAAATATCATGCAGACAAATGTTATCTAGGTAATTTATACATTGAGGATAAAGACAAATGTTACCCAGATAAGTAATTCACTGACGATGAAGAAAAATGTCTCCCAGGTAGGTAATACTCTGAAGATAAAGGCAAATGTCACTGCGTGAGTGTTTACTGATGTATATTTATAACATCACATGTTCAGTTTTCACTTTATTTGAAAATAATGACAATTTTGACATAAATAATAGTATCTTTTTTGGAGAATGAACTCTCAAATGGAAGTTATTTTTCAAAGTTCTTTTTGGTCTTCATTCTTTACCATTTTATCGATGAATTTACTTAGAAACTGATTCTTTCTTAAAGCATACGACTGTACACAGATAAATTGCAAAGTGTAAGGCATTAGTTGTTAGATTGTTCATAGACACTTCTTTTTGGTTTCAGCTTACTCCACAAAATCAACCCCCACTCCAAGTAAGTGGCACAACAATTTTCATGTGAAAATTTACAGGATAATTATAGCTTTTGCCTAAAAGAATAGTCCCACATATATACATAAAGTTGGACCCAGTACATGTATATTACAGGCTATTGGTCTTGATTCTGAACAAATTTAATATCAAATTTCAAAACTGATTCTTAATCTTAAAGCATGTGGCTGTACACAGATTAATTTCTGGGTGTAAAAAAATAATTGCTTGATTTTTTCATTGACAATTCTCTTTGGTTCCAGCTTACTCCACAAAATTAACACCCTTCACAAGTAAGTGGCACAACAATGTCGAATGAGAGATTATATACACTAAAGTATATTTTTGGATGAAGAAAAGACACATACAGTACACTATACAATAAGTTGGATCCAGTTTAGAAACTCAATTTTAATTTACTATGCTTCACTAAAAATCTATTACATAATGTTATTTAGCTTTATCAGAGGCAGAAAGAAAAATATCCAGTCATCATTTTATAAAGTTGACATCCATACTTGAATTTTAGTTATGCAAATATATGCATATCTGCTGTTGGTATTTTAAAGCTGCAAAACTCCGATCATTTTGAGGCTGAAAAAATGAAATAGTACGTGTTGTTTTAGTAACTTTAAACCTTAATTTCTTTCAGCTCTTTCTCCTACACCAGAGGGAGAAACACCAGGTATAGTGCAGTAATATGCCGGTGTAACATGAAAATCTGACTCCCCCAGTTAAAATTTCATAATGAAAATCTGACTCCCCCCATGAAATTTTGACTCCCCCTCACAAACCTTTTTAAATTCATATTCTATTTGAATATATAACTTTTATCTTGTAGTATGCATAATAGAGGATACATTGGCACTTTCTGAAATTTTTCATGAGGAAATAAGAAAATTAAAAATGTTTTTTTTTTCACCAAGTGATTCCTTTGAAAAGGCTATGGGAGTCCAAATCCTACAGGTAGTAAGATGAATACTTGTTTCAAAAATTATCAAGTTTCACCAAAATTTTCACCACCAAACTTTCAAATAATAACAAAATATACATCACAATGCAAACCATGTGAAAAACAATGGTATGGTGGCTTAATATAAAATAATGCCTTTCTTCATGAGAGTCCAAATCCCATGTGTATGAATATAAAGATTTTTCATGATTTTTTTTTTTCATTTTTTGCACCCAATATTTTACCACCAAACTTTCAAATATTTCCAATATATTCGTCATAAAGTATACTAAAGGGACAAATGTTGAAATGATCACCATGCAAATATCAAATAAAAAGCTTTTTCATAGGGGAGTCATTGGGTGGTAAAATACAATTTTTTTATGTTCTTAATTTCTCATTAAAATTTTCACCTGCAAACTAGTAACAAAAAGTGCAAATGTATCCTCCATTATGCATACTACTATATAAAAGTCATATACTTCAATAATATAAGATTTATAAAGTTTTGTGGGGGGCGTCAAAATTTCATGGGGGGGAGTCACATTTTCATTATGAAAATTAGACTGGGGAGACACATTTTCATAATGAAAATCTGACTGGGGAGTCACATTTTGGGGGAGTCAGATTTTCATGGTACACTGGTCTTTCCATAAATATTCATTTACATTTTCTTTAAATTGCATACAAAGATGTTGAGTATTAACCATATAATTTTAAGTCAATTTATAATCAAAGTTAACAAAAATGAAGCCATGTGTCTTTTTACTTTCACCTCACCTGGTACACTATAATGAATTGGTTAATTATTGTAGAGGGTAGTTTGGGAGATCGAGTGGGGTGAGTAGACATCAAATTAATACAAGATTTTTATGTCATTGTGTATAGTTACAATTGTCTCCCATTTGTTTCCTCAACGTTTAAGGGTATTATGATAGGACTATCAAAAAATGAACACTAGTAAGTATACTTTCCCAAGGATTACTGTTTATTGAGATATGGATGTGTGTAATCCCAGCTGTATATGTTCATGTAACATAAATATTTATTCTGTTTATTACAGGATATAATGTAAAAACAGTGGTAACTTTCCCTCGGCCTGCAAACTTCTCCACTGGATGCCTAAGAATTGTTGAAGATGGTTTATATTATTGGTTCCAACAAAATGACCTCAGTGTCAATATTACTGAACTTTCAATAAATCTCTGTGGGTATTACACACGAGCGGAATTTGAGCAAGTTTCTTTGTCCATGGATAAAAATAGGGTATGCAATATTAATAAATAAATAATAAAATACAATATGTTTTTTGATAAAAATAAAAATCTTAAGATATTTGGAATGTTTGAGTAAGGACACAAACAGTTCAATAGCATGTTATGCATAAAGTCGTAAAGTCACAGGTTGTATACAAGTCTTTAAAAACAAATTACAAATGAAATGCAAAACATTTGCTTTACCACTTCAAATGAAGCTCTTTCATCTAGAAGAAGAACCTATGGTTTTTCCAGGTTCATCAGAAGATGAGCTTTGGTTACCACTTCTACCGTATGACCTTGGCAAAGGAAGTGTTGACAGCCAAACAGGTCCGTGATTGTGGAGATAAAATAATGGGATACTTTAAAGCTTACCCTGTTCCTCTCTCCGTCTACAATATAGTTCCAATTGGGAACTGCTCTGCACTGGATGCAGCTGATGTCAGTAATACAGGGACAGTGAGATGTACTATGGGGAAGGTACTGAGAGAAGTTGATGAAGATGATAATGAAGTTTGTCTACCTGGTGAGAAAATTTTTTTAACATTTCCCTTGATGGCCACCTTTAACCACTGGTACCTTTTATTTGGGGGAAAATATCATTAATTACCTCTCTACTTAGTGAAAATGATTCTTTTAAATTAATTTCAATTTTCAATTGAAAAAGGGTATTACCGAGTATTTTACCCAATTTTCCTGATTTTGAAAGTATATCTCTTATAAAAAAAAAAAAAAAAAAAAAAAAAAAAAAAACAGTATGTCTACAAGCCTTCAAAACTTAATCAATTGACAGAGTTTTCCATGTTAATTATCATTTCAGTTCCATCCAAAGTGCTAACACTCCAGTTCAATGTGACATCATCAGAAAACACGTCAACACCCAGGGACTGCTGGCAGTATTATAGCTACATCATGAATCAACGATTTGAATCTTATTCTGTTAATCTTGGTGACTTGGTGAGACAGGCTTGTAACTCTGATGATTACACAATCACTGGACTTCCTAATCTGCCAGTTGTCACTTGTCACCCTGTTACTTCAAATATGGTAAGTTGCTTCCAGTATAATGAGTCATTCCATTTATTTTGTCCAAGTGTTCTTGAATAAGGTATGATGCTTCTGCAGATATGAAATGGCTACAAATTATTTCTTGTGAGATCACTTTTGATGTAATATTTTTGGAAACATTTGGAAATAATATAATATAATATAATATAATATAATATAATATAATATAATATAATATAATATAATATAGGGATTCTGTCAAGTAAGAGGTGTACTAGTTCAGCATGAAGATATTCCCAGGAATAAATATATGGAGTGTGTACACAACTTTTCCCTGGTAATACAACAAGATCTGCTCCTGGGAAAACTACTAGCTGGTGAGTCATGATCAGTGACTGTTACTTATCATTATTATTATTTTTTTTTTTATTATTTTTTTATTATTTTTTTTTTGCAATTGTATGCAAAATGTGCAACAGGGTATTCAGCTAAGTAGACTGTTATTGGGAAAATGATAGTAGTTTAATTATGTTAAAAGCTGTTAATACTTTCCTATTCCTAATATTACTGGTAATAATACAATTAATACTTCTCTGAATTTGCATAAAACATACGCCCATAAGTAGCAGATATTGACTTATTTTGCTTATTTTAGGTTTTCAACTATTAAGGTATACGTTGAATAGATTATTGCGTGATTAAGATGTTACTGAAATGTCGTACAACAATAGATGTACATGTAATCCATTTCACAGGCATGAACAACCATACCTATGGCCACTGTCCAGATCTCAGTGGATCTGTGCCTCAAATCTTGAACACCGATGAGAAGTTCTGTTATGATCAGGGCTCAGATTACTTTGAGGATAGTGACAAATGTTACCCAGGTAAAAGGCAAAAATATTAAATATCATATAGGGCACTCACATATATCTGCTATATGTTATGGAGACAAATGTTATCTACATTGAGGATAAAGACAAATGTTACCCAGATAAGTAATTCACTGATGATGAAGAAAAATGTCTCCCAGGTAGGTAATACTCTGAAGATGAAGGCAAATATTATGGAGTAAGTGTTTACTGATGTATGTTTATAATGCCACATGTTCAGTTTTCACTTCATTAAAAAAACAATTTTGCCAAAAAAGTAGTTGTATTAAATGAACTCTCAATAAAAGAATAGTCACATATATTCACATTATGTTGGATCCAGTATAGGTATGAACAGTGTGAAAATGTTCTTGTTCTTGAATCTTAACAATTTCAATATCATATATCAAAACTGATTCTTAATCTTAAAACATATGGCTGTACAATATTAATTTTAGAGTGTAAAACATTAGTTGATAGATTTTTTTCATGGACATTTCTCTTTGGTTTCAGCCTACTCCACAAAATCAACACCCATTCCAAGTAAGTGGCACAATTAACAATTTCAAATGAGAGGTTATAGTATAGTTTTTGGATGAAGAACAGATGCATACACTATACATTAAGTTGGATCCAGTTTAGAATAAGTTCACTTGTAATTTCCTATGCTTCACAAAAAAAAAAAAAAAAAAAAAAAAACCTTGCATAATGTAGTCAGGCAGAGGCATAAAGAAAAATATCTGGATTACATTCATAAATTTGACAGTGATACTTGAATTTTAGTTATGCAAATATTATCTATGTAATTGATATTACGAGGATAGAGACAGGTGTAACCCAGGTAATTAAGTAATACTCTGAGGATAGAGGCAAATATTACCCAGGTAAGTGATACTTAGAGTACAAAGACAACTGTTACCGAATTTAGTAATACTCTAAGGATAGAGACAAAAGTTGCACATATAAATAATACTCTGTGTATCTAGAGACAATGATACCCAGGCAAGTATTACTTTGAGGATGAAGACAAATGTTAACAAGGTTTTTTAGGGCTGGGTTGCTGTAGTTTGCTTGTTGTTTTAAGCGATTAATTCATTACGTTAAAACTACTGCATGTATATATGTACACATATATAGTAGGCATTCGTAGTATCAAAGTTGACTCTACCATAATTATAAAAATTAAGATATGATGTTGATAGAGTTGCAACCTTTATAATACTGTAAGCTAGATAAATTAAGCTTATTATACCAACAGTGATCCTGCAAAGAGTGTCAGTCAGCTCATTTAATTTTCATAGATTCCCAATCAGCTTGAGGATGGCACTAAACTGAATTATTTTTTACCATTGAAAACAATGTTATTTTCCTGGTGTGAAGAGTTATAGATTGATTCTACAATGTGGTAAATTCTATTTCAGCTGACTCCCCCAGAACAACAACACCCTATCCAAGTAAGTGACATTTTGTGTGCGTAAGGCAACAGTGCATTTTGATTGATAATTTACCACAGCATGTATTTACATTTTCATTAATTTGAGAATTCATTTTGATTAAAAAAAATTGCACTCAGAGATAGAATGCATAATTTTTGATTTGACAGTCGAATATGAATTTTTCATGCATGGGATCAATTTTGTCCCCTTTCCCCTCATATTCCTCCACAGAGAACCACTATTGAATGTACTGTTGCTTCACCCTGAAATAAGCCCTAAATATAATGTAATAAATGTAATTTCATTCCAGCTCCTATTGCTTTACCAGCGCGTGACAAACCAGGTATGGAAACATATAATAGTACTTTTCACTAACGTTAAACTCTGCAGCTTAGGTCTTTATATAGTCAGAGTAATTATAAAGTAATTCTATAACAATGCCTCTATTGGTTTTCATAAAAATGTTTTTTTCTACATCCTTATTACCCATATAATGCACATCTGGCAGGGAGCAAATTAATGTCTTTCCTTGGACTTTTTGAAAAACTCCTAAATGGCCACCATTTTCCAGAGAATAGCTGTAGTAATAGATTAATTAATACTAGGGTGCACGGGTTTCAACTAATGCCAGCTACAAGTATTTTTATTTTGTTTTCTGCATTGATGGTATGTTATGGCCCATATAACGCATGTCTGGCAGGGAGCAATTGAGTATATCCTTGGACTTTTTGAAAATTTTGATAGTGGGCAATGATTGTCTTAATTCCCTTGGTAGTTGGCATCAGTTAAAACCCCTTGTATGTGTACAGTACAAGTACTATAGTAACCTATGGCAAATGGCGGCCATCTTGGATTTTTTCAAAATGTCCAAAGAAATATTGTGTGCTTTCTGACACATGCATTATATTGGTAATAAGGATGGAGAATAAACATTGAGGAACAACTTTATTTGAACAAACCAATAGAGGAACGTATGTATGAATTAAAAAAAAAAAATCTTAAATTGGTAGTCATTTGTCAGAGGTAGAATTTGCCAAAGGGCTACATCAATATTAGATTGATTTAGAATGTCAAAAGCTAACCACATGCAAAATTTATCTGCCGTGCCATGATTTGGCTACTTTTTTTACCCTAAGTCGACCCACTGTTATTGTGAGAGTATATATGTATGAGATTTATTGCAACACCATGCATTCACTGTACAGTGGTGATGTTGTGCAGATACCTGTATGTATTTCACCTTAGCATCAAGCTTATTTGGTTTTGGAACCTTCAGATCCAGTGAAATTATGTTCTCATTTTTTGGTAGTGATAATTACGTACACCACAAGCAGTGAATTGTGTGTGATGTACTGTACAGATGTTTGGTGCACTATTGCATGTCACATATACATGTACAACATACTCTGGGGCAGCGCTAACACTCACCAATTTAGCCAAATGCTAAAACTGACTGAAATTGGCTTAAGAAAAGGGGCTGGATTTGACATGTTTCAGCCAAATTATAACCATTTTGATAACAAATTGACAAAAATGTGGTGATATGGCCAAGTGAAAAAAATTGCTAGCGCTACGTACCCCAGATACTGACCAGTGGTGTGTCTGATGTCCACAAAAAAAAAAAAAAAAAAAAAAAGACTCAAGAGGCAAGAAAATTGAATCTCAAACTGGACACTTACATAGATCTGGTCCATGAATCACAATTTATGTAAATTATTGATGTAAAAGGCCCAAGCATTTCTGATATATATATATATATATATATATATATATATACGGTGTTTCTTTCTTGACATCCACTATGATATACATAATTATCTTATTCACAGGTTTCCAGATCACAACTATTATAACTGCTCCAATACCTGGTAACTTTTCTGAAGACTGCTTGCATTGGCTCCGACTGTCATTTTACTATGCAACCAACCAGTACAGTTACTTTGGTTCCAACCCATATTTACCACTTGTCAATTTTGCTGGATATAATCTTGGTATCTGTGAGCTGTACTCTGCACAAATAGAATTTCAAAGAGGAAAGGCATTCATGAGTGACGGGAAGGTGAATGTGCACTTAATTTTTAAACAATATTTTTATTGATTTTAAAATATGCCTGGATAGTCAATCATACCAGAAAAAGTTGTTTCAGAAGTTCTGAAAAGTCACTTTTTTGATCATGTTTAAAGTTGTATTTGTAATTGAAACTGAATAAAATAAAATATATGTAAGCAGAGATATTGAATTCTCAAAGTAATTTGAAGTCTTTGATCCAGTGTTGTTAAATTAAACACTATGCACTTAATCTTTTCCTCATTATTGTTTAAAGTTCACATTTGAATCAAGTGTTTATAAACACTTGTCCTCAATTAGGGATTTTTGAGAAAAATTATTATTTCATTTAAGGTTCACATCCAGATGAGTTATGGTTACTACTTCTCTGCCAAGGAAACGCTGACATCAAAAGAGGCTCGTGAATGTGGACAGAATTTGCTTGCATTCTTGAGAGCAAACTTTAGTTCAGGATTTATGCTGCCTAACATCACAGCCACCATGAACTGCCCTGCTTTGACCTCTGCAAATGTCAGCTACAATGGATCTCTAGTGTGTAGAATTGGGCGAGTGTTGAGAGGGGATGAAGACAATGGAACATGTGTAGCTGGTAAACCAGTTTTTGCTCAAGGAGCATCTTATCATGTGCTATGTGTTAGGTGATCTGGTTTATTGTCATGAGTATATCACTCTGATGAACACAATGTGACCAAGTTGTAACACTCTGAATCGATGGAACATCATATAGCAACTCATCAATACGTGCCCCCCCCCCCAAGAAAAAAATAATAAATAGATTAATTAAATATTTATTGGTACTATTGTTTTATTTATTTGATTGTATTTAGTAGATATATATTCTCCATTTTGTATCTTTATATTTTCAGTTCCATCAAAAGTGTTAAAACTCCAGTTTACTTTGACAACTGCTGGAAACTCCTCAGCACATAACTACTGCTGGTCCACTTATTACAATTATTTTATCAATCAAAGATTCAACAATTATACCTTGGATATGAATGATAAGCTGCACCAGGCCTGCAATTCTGTTTATTACACAATAAGGAGTCTGCCTGGTCTGCCACTTGTCAGCTGTCAGTCTGTCACCACAAGTATGGTGAGTATAAATATGCTGCATGTTAGTCCTTCTTGGTTCGAATCAAACTTAGTTATTTATTTTGAATATTTTAATATTAAAATGTACAACTTTGTGTCAAATTGCAAGAATAAAATGAGTCATATTTTTATGGGCAATTTTTCTATTAATACTAGTATTTCTACAGGTGCTTTTGGTCGTCACTGTTCATAAATGTGCATACACCAAGCAGACTCTTTCATACAATGTATGCCTGCACACACCCCCTTCAATTGTTAACTATAATTTAAACAAACAAAAAGAATAATAAAAATACATGAATAAATAAAATATTTTAGGGATTCTGTCAAGTTCAAGGTGTACTAGTCCAACATAAAGATATTCCCTGGGAGAAGTACATGGAGTGTGTACACAACTTCTCTCTGGCATTAAAAGAAGATCTGCCCCTTAGAAAACTACTGGCAGGTGAGTCATAATGACTTATTTGTAGGCACTTGTATGCAAGTGTGCAATAGGGTTTTCAACTAGGTAGACATTGACTGTGATTGGGGAAAAGTGGTAGTTGAATATTGTGAAGACAACTTTTCATTCCTCCTCGTTGTTATGTTATGAAGTGTGCACATAACTCTTCTCTGGTAATAGGAAAAGATCTGCCCCTTGGAAAATTACTAGCAGGTGAGTTATGATTAAACAATTTATTCCTTCCCTTTGGTATGTAAAATGTGTGATAATGTTTTCAACCTTGTAATAACTTGCAGCTAAATCTGTTTTGAAAGTTGAAAAGTGTTTTCAAATAATTAAATAATTTCAAATAATTAACCATTTCAGTAAGCATAGTATGCCAAATCTTTTCACCAGTTCACTCAATGCAGTGTGCCAGTTTACCTAAACAGTACAACAATATCACAACATGTTAATTACACACTGGCACACCCAACACAATGTACCAGACCATCCGATACAATATATCAGCTCATCTAACACAATGTACCAACTCATCTAACACAATGTATCAGCTCATCTAATACAATGTACCAACTCATCTTACACAATGTACCTGTCCATCTATAATGCACCAGCTGCTCACTTTACATGAGTCACCTCACCCAACACACTGTATTAGTTAATTTAACACCAGCTCACCTAACAGCTTTTTTCCCTATGTTTAGGTATGCACAACCTGAGCAGTGGAAACTGTCCTGATGTCATTGGTTCTGACCTGCAAATCTTGGACACTGATGAAAAGTATTGCGTTGATTCAACATCAGTTTACTCCAAGGAAGAGGACAGTTGTAAAGATACAGGTACAAATCTATTAAGCAGTTCAACCATGCAAAGCAAACAAGTGTCATTATCAAATTACTGATGTTGTTGCTTATAAACACTACGATTTAGTTAAAATATTTCAGAATGATATATTGATGAGGTTGCTGCATTGAACCCTTGCTAATTTTAATTGCTCTTTATACATAGAAATATTTCTGTTTCTCTGTGTGTTTATATATATTTTCTGAACCTCTATGAAAATTATGTTTTTTTAGTCACAGGACCCGGCCGTAACTGTCCGTCAGAGCCTTGTTACAATGGAGGCACTTGTATGGAAAATCCAGGAGACCCCCATGGCGTCACTTGTTTGTGTAAACCTGAGTTCACTGGATGGAAATGCCAAACTCCAAGTAAGTGTTTACAAATAGAAAGCAGTACTGTTTTTATTCTCAAAAGTCAAATTTCATTGTCAAAAAAAAAAAAAAAAAAAAGGCTCATTATATTATTGCAATTCCATATTTTAGTATACAGTGTCACTTTTTATGGAATACCATGTTTATACCATGTTAAATATAAAAATATCTTTTTTATGAATTATGGCATGTTTAAGAAAAGTTGTTTTAATAGGCCAATTGACAATCAAATACGAGTGTATATATAGCATTTGTCATTTAATCTCATAAATGGATGAACCACACAAGTTGTTCGGGATGAAGAAAACATAAATATAACACTTAAACTTTTTAACACATTTTGGGATGTTTCATGGCAGATACGGCTTATTTTGCTACCTAACTGACATATATTTATCAATCCCAGAATTGCAAGTTGAACAAAGTCTGCCACTCAATACTTCATAGAAATTGGGAGTCCTTTCTGGAAAAGTTATCTGCAACAAATGTGATAAATTGCATGTTATTTTTGAAATGTTTAAAATTTTTCATTACTGCAATCTTTGAAAAATATTACAAGCTTGTTATAACGTGTACCTTTTCATCTACTTACTTAATTTTTTAAGTTTCAGGTGGCCCTGTGTTAAATGCCATAGCTCCAGGTAAGTGAAGGTTATATATATAATGAATAAGTTAATGAATATATAGAGTTGCAAAGACTTTGAATAAGGGAACAGACAGATGGGTGTTTGAAATTGAGTGTGTGCATGTATCTGTGCTTGTGTAACTAGACAGAAAGAACTGTCGACAATAGAGCTAAAATGATAAAAATGATATTTATTTTGAAAAGCGTTTCATTATTTTTCAGAATATTTCTTTAAGCTCTCATACACATTCAATACATCAATGGCTAGTAACTGCACCAAGGAACACTTAAGTGGAATTTTAACTTCATTACCTGGTTCTGTGAACTTGAGCTGTAGTAATGGTGCCTCTGTTTCAATCATCGAAACTCCGAGTGACATAAAAATTAACGGAACACTGGTAAATTTCATTTGCACGCAAATATTAAGTGATATCTGCTTTATTGGTTCTTAAAGTTATTTTTTCATTGGTAAAGGACATACGTATTTTGCTCTATATAAAGAAGCAGAAAGTCAAATTAGTTAATCTGGACTTACTAAACAATCCTGATTCTTTTTTAGATGATATTGCATTTGTCCAACTGACGATGTATTCATTTTATGCTTGACCCTGTAATATCTTAATATATAGCACAGTGAAAATAATGATGTAAAATGTTATAATGATAATAATAATAATAATAAACCGTTATACTTTAACTTAAGAAATGGTGCATGAGGTATACATCACACCTCTCTTAACTTTAATTAAATACGTACTTCCATTACCCTTCAGACAACAGTCAAGGTCAAACTAAAACTGCTAGTACTTGGCACGTCTGGCCCCACCACACCAAACCTGGTGTCAACATGTGGAGATAGTCTGAAACCTGTGATCAGTAACTTTCTCTCTGGTTTGAATCCATCTGCTCTGAACACAACAGCTGAATGTCGTAAAATGGTGGAGTTGGGAAAGCATGGAATAATGGTTGCTGATGCAGGACTGAGTTGCTTGAGTATGTTTGGTCTGGATCCAGATAGTCATTACTGCAGACCAAGTAAGTGTTAAGGACAACACTACATTGTACTCACCCTGCTAATGAACTTTGTCTAGTTATTTTCAAGTAAATGTGTACTTTGAATTTTGATTTTAAATAACTTTTTTATTGGTTTTATTTCAATTAATTTCTTTTAAAACCCAAGATGGTAAAACGATTTCCATTTTATGTTCATTATATACATATACCTGTGTATATATATATATATATATATATATATATATATATATATATAAAATGATTGGATAAACTTAATTAATGTCGGTAATGCAGATATTGTAGCGTAATGTGCCTCAAGATTGTGGTATTTGACTAATTATTTCATGTATGAAGACAATTCATCAGAAATGAGATTTTTACAATACTAACACCTTGTTGTAATGATCCCTTTCATACATATGGAATGAATGACCTAAACTTTTATAATTGTGTACGCTGGATTCAAGTGTGGGCTCAAAATGGCACATTACTTAGTGGATAACACAATCTATAAAGATTCATGTCAGCTTTACTTAAGGTCACACAAAGAAAACCAAAGTCCACATATAACCAGTTAAACAATTTATTCGTCGATGCTCTGCTGCTTCATATTCTAAATGAAATCTCCAACTCCTAGTTCCCTGAAATCACGTCTGCTCCATGCTCCTTAATTCTCTCCCAATCGCCTTCTCGATCCTCCCCATTTCCTCCAAGGTATCAATTCCGATTGCTTATGTAATAATTTCGTATCTAAGGTGGGTGCATGCAAACTTTAATTACTTCTAATTGTATAGTTAATTTCTTTGCATCTGCTTTATATAGAGAGGCCACCACAATACTCAAGAACTATCCGACCAGAACACCTTATATCATACTTTTTCATAAAATGACTGCATAAAATATGTTTTATCTTTATGTCAGACACGACATTGTGGTTCCTGTACTTTTCCTTAACTAACTATACTAACAGGTCTGCTGCAAACTCTCTCACATATTTGTCACATACTTACTGCAAATTTGTAAGAAGATTTATCTTAATTACTTTTCAGTTCCATCACTGGTACTGAGCTTCCATCCAAAATTTAACCTCACTGGTCTGGATACTGCCTGCCTTAACAGATACAGAGCAAAGGCATTGACTCAGTTTTATGATGTAAGGGCAGAGATGATCGGACTTGTTGACAAAGCCTGTGGGGAGGACAATGTTAATGTTTACCCAGTCAGTACAGGACTTTTTAATCAGTCTGTACTGTCTAAGGTAAGGAATATATGTGGGAATGCCTGACCTGATTTTCACCCCACTGATTTAAGATCTTTGTAGTTTTTTCAAACAATATTTTTAAAAGTACTAGTGTAGATAATTTTTTGAAAAATGAAAAAAACATATTTTAATATATCTTGAGTAAAGAAAAAAAAAACAGCTGCGCCAACAAGTAACTTAAATATTATTAATTAAATGTTAAAAGATAAAAGAAAAAATGTCTATTCACAATACTTAATTACTACTGTATTTGAATATGTATGTACAAGTACCTGAATAATATAACGAATGTTTATTTGTCCTTCCAGAAATCATTTGAGGTCGGCTATAAATTTATTCCGATGGGTGATCTCTCAAAATCAACACTTATGTCATGTGTTGGGGGAATTATACAATCCATACATGAAAGGACCAATACAATATTTGGTGAACTTCACAGTTATAGTGGTTATTTTAGCTGCCCTGCAATTACCACACCACCAGTGAATGTAACTCAAGGTTTGCAGTGCGATCTACCACATTATCCAATATATAACAAGAGCACAGGATATTGCGATGCTGACAGAGGTTAGTGAATGTGTGATCAACACATAACTAACATATGACTACATGTAAAATATGAAGGACATATGACTAACATGTAATTAGGATAATGATCCATGTGATAACAACATATGTGTGACTGACCATTTTTTCCTTTCTATAGCTTAATGTGTATAAAAAATCAACTCTGAAATATGATTTTGGTACTTTGTAAATTTTCTTTCTAACACTGTTTAAAATGTTTCATTATTTATCAGATTTTACAGTTTCTCAAAATATAATTTTGTAAGGTTAGACTTGCATGCTTTTCAAAACCAAAAAGACACCCAAACTTTTTGGGTGGTATGTAAAAATAAAAATTTGAAAAATATTTTAATAACTTGACATACTTTAAAAGAGTCTGAGACTTATATGTAAATTCTTATGTTTTGTCACAGGACCTGGTCGTAACTGTCCGTCAGAGCCCTGTCACAATGGAGGCAGTTGTGTAGAAAATCCAGGAGACCCCAATGGCGTCACATGTGTGTGTAAACCTGAATTCACTGGATGGAAATGCCAGACTTCAAGTGGGTGGTTTTACATTGCGTATCATACTTATAATTATTATTGTTGTTGTTGTTGTTGTTGTTATTTTTGAAAAATACAAGTTTCAGTATAAAAATGATGTTAACTGATATCAAATATGATTGTTTACCCTTACATGTGTATCAGCTCTGTATTGCTTTAATTGTTTGACACATATTTGTTTTTGTTGTATAGTAGGTGATGCTCACTTTGCTACACGATCCCTATCAAACAAAATTTAATACAAATATGTAGGCCTAACTAAAACTGGAAATTAAATGTCAGCTGCAGCATTTTTTTATTTACACATTATTCTTTTTTTTACATACAGAGGTACAGTGTATTTCTGTCTTTCCTGAATCACAATTTCAATATTACTTACTATATGTACTTATGATTATAATTTTTTCACTAACTCCATTAATTTTCACATTTCAGTTGGCTCCGTTGCTAATACCATAGCTCCAGGTATGTCATTTTATATATGATTGCATAGAGTAACAAGCAATTTTGAATAAAAATATAGAAAGATGAACATTTGTAATTAAGTGTCTTTGTCTGTACCTTAAATTTTTAAGTAGTATGTTTTAACTATTAACACTTTGTAAGAAGTATTTTAATTATTAACACTTTGTAAGTAGTATTTTAATTATTAAAACAGATTTTGTAATTTCATAAAATAACTTCATTACATTTCAGAATATTTCTTTAAGCTCTCATACACATTCAATACATCCATGGCTAGTAACTGCACCAGAGAACACTTTGGTGGGATCATAACTTCATTACTTGGTTCTGTGAATCTGAGCTGTGGTAATGGTGCCTCTGTTTCAATCATCGAAGTGCCAAGTTTCATAAAGATTAATGGAACACAGGTAAATTTCATTTTAGACTGTGTAACTCAACATTTTCTAATAAATTTTTTTTCTGTAGTTAAAATGTATTTTTAGAAAAATATTTTTCAACATGAGAAATGAAATATTGGTAAGAGTCAAACTGGACTCATTCAAGTAAATCATGATCAGTTGTGACTGTTGTTTTTCATGATATTATATTGTTCTGCTGACATTGCATTAATTGTTTTGTTTTTCAATGGTTGGACACATTGTAAACAGTGATGACATAAGAAAATAACAAACTTGAAAATTTAAATTTATGATGATGATGGTGGTACTCATCTCAGGAGACAGCTAGCCCATGCCTCACTAACTTCATATTAACACCTTGCTTTAATTTTTCCCTTCAGACGTCAGTTATGATCAAACTAAAACTGCTAGTACTTGGCATGTCTGGCCCCACCACACCAAACCTGGTGTCAACATGTGGAGATAGTCTGAAACCTGTGATCAGTAACTTTCTCTCTGGTTTGAATCCATCTGCTCTGAACACAACAGCTGAATGTCGTGAAATGGTGGAGTTGGGAAAACGTAGAATAGCAGTGGTGGATTCTGGATTGAGTTGCTTGAGTATGTTTGCTCTGGATCCAGTTACTCATTACTGTAGACCAAGTAAGTGTTATGAATAATATACTATCCACCATGCAGTGAGCCTCTCTGAAGTTTCTTCAAAGCAAATTCAGACTTTTTACTTTTAAAAGAAGCAACTGCTTTAAAAAAGCTTTTCTCCAACTGCCTCATCTTTTTTATTCAAAAATTTGCAGTTTTACCAATACTTTTTTGTGCCAGTTTATTTCAGTCCATTTTTTTTTCAAAACCCTAGATAGTAAAACAATTTCCATTTTATCTGCTTATTTATAGCTGTGTTTATGTAAAATGGTTGAATAGACTTTATTATTGTACAGTAATTTTGGTTTAATGTGCCTCAGTAGTATCGTATATTACTATAACTGTTTTAGATATGAGGAAAATTGCCTGATGAGAGATTTTTTTACGATGTTACATGTAAGACATTGTGCTTTTTAGCAAAATATCAGGCCTGTCGCAACCTCTCTCACAAACATGGTGCAAACTTGCTGCAAATTTGCAAGAAGTTTTATCTTACTTTTCAGCTCCATCGATGCTACTGAGCTTCCATCCAAATTTCAACCTCACTGGTCTGAATGCTACCTGCCTTAACAGCTACAGAACAAAGGCATTGACTCAGTTTTATGATATAAGGGCAGAGATGGTTGGCCTCGTTGACAAATCCTGTGGTGAAGACAATGTTTATGTTCACCCAGTCAGTACAGGACTTTTCAATAAGTCTGCTCTATCTAAGGTAAAGAATACGTGTATGAATGACTCACCTGTTTTAAACACTGATTTATGTTCTATGTAGTTTTTTCTAAAAGTTCAGAATTGCTATTCCCTCATAAAAAAATTGGGAGTGAAAATTGTGATAAAACATGAGTAAATAAACATTGTTTAATATTACGAATTAATTGTTATTAGTTTTGTGTGAACAGTCATCATTACAGTACCAGCACTTACAACTGTATATATACAATGTTACTGGGGTGACATTGAGAATGTTTATTCTTTCCTTCCAGAACCCATTTGAGACCAGATATAATTTCATCTCGCTGGGTGGTCTCTCAAAATCAAACCTTTCATCATGTGTTAAGAGCATTTTACAACCCATAAATGCAAGTTTCAATAAAATATTCGGCAGACTTCACAGTTATAGCCATTATCTAGGCTGCCCTGCAATCACCATGGGACCAGTAAATGTGTCACTGGGCATGAACTGCAGCCTTGCCAGTAACCCAGTATATAACTCGAGCACCGGATGGTGTGATGCTGACAGAGGTTAGTAAATTATTTTTGAGTAACATGTACATGATTAATGCATAATAACTACGTAACACATTACCAACACGTGACTTACACATGACAAACACGTACGTGACTTTGTCAGGCAGTGTGTCCATGATGATCTGTCTAATTTATACAGGTACAGGGGCGGATCCAGGGCTATTTACTGACAGTCTTCCAAATTATCTTTGTTGATTCATCCTCCAATTTTGACCGTCTTCCAACAGAAAAAATTAGATACCAGTTAGGCCACACTTTTTTATTTTTATGGATGACATCCTGCGCGCGCACCGATTTTCGTCCGTTCTCAAAAAAAAAAAAAA